CCCCTCTAAGAAGCATAAACATTTCTAGTATGACTCAAGAATGTGTAGCTGTCTCTGTGTTTTCCCCTCTAAGAAGAATAAACATTTCTAGTATGACTCAAGAAAGTGTAGCTGTGTCAATGTTTTCCCCTCTAAGAAGCATACACATTTTCTTTAAGCCAGCACATAAAGAAAAGTCACCAACTGGCAGAACATCGTCCCAAAATTTGAGATTTACGGGCCCCATTTTAGGGAAGAAAGGGAAGAGAGACCCCACACCCCCAACCAACCAACCAAGCGTGTCATAAAAGCCAGCTAATTAAAGGCCTGCAGAAATCAGATTTGATGAGTTGAAAAACACAGATATTGCAGCATAGCTGTCAATCACAGAACAAGGTGCCAACCACCTTCCTAAAGGTGCATTCTCTGTCTGCAAGGTTCACAGAATACAATGGATAAAGAAGAGAAGAAATAGTGACATCTTAACATCAAGGAACATTGGCTGCTTATAAACATAATCTTGTCTCAGGAAATAATTTGGTCAGATCAAGCACCGCAGTGGACTGGAAGAAATAATAGAAGGCATGGTACCAGGAAGGAGGGGCAGGAAATGACAACATGAAGCCCGGGTTCAGGATATAAGTCACTCCTTGAATATGTATGAACACGAGGAGGGAGAGCTGGCAAGAGACAAAGTTTTTTTCAGGCATACTACGATGAGTGCAAAAGACCTGTCTCATGATGATGATGCCTTACAATGTCCCATTTGAAAAATTATGAATTAATTAAGTAACAGAAAGTATTGTGAACGGCACTCATAGAAAGAAGTAGAAAGATAGAAGAACACACTAGACAACATAAAAATTGAAAGCTATAGTTACCGTGCTGGGAATTGAACCTGTCACCTCCAGACGGCGTCTGCGCCTCGCCATGAATACAAGTGCACTAAGATACATGGTCAACTCGGCACCCCAAAAAAAAGGTGTCTCATTGGCCATGTCTATCGTACAGCTTGAAATCCACAACTATGGAATACGGACAGAATTCATTTCAACCCATTGAAATGGCACCATAGGTTACAGAAATTTATATTAACGAAGCAAATGTCAAATAACAATCACAGCAACAATTTACGAACACAGTAAGACCTTATTGCTTTGTCTAGAATACACAAACATTTAAGAAAGGTATTTGATTGGTAGGTTCCAGTGTGTATACGTCATTCCTATAAATAAACAGAGGGGGGAATCATTCGAGGCCGTTAAATATTATGAATTAATTAAGTAACAGAAAGTATTGTGAACGGCACTTTCCATTTGAAAAACTAGTTAAAAACGTATCAGTGCCAGCAAACCTTTTAAGCTTGCATACACAAGGTAAATGCACAAGACAGCCATCAGATATATCAACACAGCCTCCCACCAAACATGCAGCTCAGTGTTGATGCAAGCAGGCAATTGTGAAAACTGACACTTGCATATTCAATGCTGCATAAGTACATGCCATTCCAAATGTAATCAACCATCTATAATTTCTAGTGGGTTTCACAACACAAAACTGCTGCAGGCACACAATACAAATTTAAAAAACATTCCACTCAAAATCCAGTGTTGCACCAAGCACTCAGCCTAGTAGCTGGGCAACATATCCTTGATATTTTCATTTTTATGGCTAAACACATATTTCCCACTATATCTTTTCCAAACAGCATACACTGGAAGAAAATATAAGGACCTCGTGAGTTGGGCAGAGTAGGGAAAGATACATCAAAGTTTTATCATGTCAGTGATACAGCTTTCTCTACTATCTACATTTCAATATTCCCGGCTGGATCCAGTAGAGAGTATATCAAACTAGAAACTCTGTCATCTTACAAGTGATTTCCTTAGAAAGGTCATGCCATTAATTACGAACATTTTTAGCGTAAAATAAATAATACAACAGACAGCAACAACAACAGAAGTGTATATCAGTAAACTAATGTATTGTCCAACTGTGGTTTACAGAATGGTTGTAGCACCATTAGTTTTGCTTCATCCTCTGTGTCATTTCTTTCAACTATAAAATGTAAGTTAAACATATTTGTTGAAAGTTTAAAAGGACCCTTTCCCCGCCTTTAGGTGTATTGGGCATATAGGGCTAGACCTATATTTGTTAGACCAATTGGCACTCAGTGGGTGATGTGGTCAACATCACGCTGGCCACCTTTACTTCCCAGGAATATACTTGGGTACCCACTCAAGGCTGGGTTGACCTGGGAGCCAAGGTCATATCTATAAAATATCAACCAAAACATGTAGTGTCATTAAAATACACTTCTTTAACTGCTGCGGGAGTCAGAGGTACCCGATCTCCCCAGACAACGCACCAGAACCAGCGGTCCTGCTTGTCAAGACTCACCTCTCTGTGGTCATCCTAGAGACAGGTTCCCTTCCAGAGCTTAGGCAATGTAGATAGGATCGAATCCTTTGAAGTTTTAAGTGCATCAGCCTGAGAGGCAAGGAACCAACAATCTGCACATAAATAAGCCATTTCTGTAAAATGGATGTGTGTGTAACATCAAAGTTCTGGAACAAGGCCAAAGTCTGGGAGCAGGACTTTACTCCAACACAATTTACAGCCAGTGAATGTGAAGAAGAAGAAGAAGAAAAAGAAGAAGAAGAAGAAGAAGAAGAAAAAGAAGAACAAGAACAAGAAAAGGAGGAAGAAGAAAGAGGCGGAGGAGGGGAGGAGAAAACAACAACCATGGCAAGAACAACGAACAAGAAGATGATGATGATGACGACCCCACCACAGAAGAAGAAGGAGGATTAGAAGAAGAAGACAACGAAGAAGAAGAAGAAACAAGAACAGCTTTGATTAGGCCAGCAGGCAGCCCCATGCAGGGACCAAACCCCTTCTCTTTGTCTTCTGCTAATTCAATACCAGCACAGAGAAGCAAAGAGTAAACTGAAAGAGGTGGGAAAAAAAGTAAAGGGTCCTTTTAATACTAGCAGCACATAGGACATATTATGCTAGACTGATATTCACCAAGCCAGCAGCCTTTACTTTCCACACTTCATCTGGTAATAATTTTAGGCTGGTTCGACCTGATAGCACAGGTAAAAAAAATTTTTTTAACGAACCCAATACAGGTGTGCAGGCTTCTAGCTGCTACGCCACTACGGTTCCAGAATGAGTGGCACCACTACCTAAATCAGCAAAATAAAAATCACAACAAACAGACACATTTTTAAATTCACCAACAACTCTTGCAATCTGTCAGGGCCAATAACTATTACAGATAATGGGACTGCTCTCCCTGGATCATGCATACAGTAGTAAAATTTATATCATGATTTATTTTCCTGCTTACAGAAACTGAAAAAAAATTATTATTACGACATAAAAAATGAATGTAATGAATTTCTCAAATAAACAACACAGCATTAATCCTCTGATACAACAGACATGTATGTAAGTAAAGAAAGAAAATGATAAACTCCCACAGAAGTGTCCTGGTACAAAATATGAGAATACAATGTACTGTAAACATGACATTAGAAAAAGAAAAAAATCCCCCACACAAGTCAGCACTAATTGCCAATACACAAAACACTAGCTAGCTAACTAAGCAAGCCAGAAGACTTTCACACCAATTTATATATATATATATATATATCAAATGATTTAAGGGTGCTGAGATGGATAGCAGATGGGACTGGAATGATGGTCTAGATCAAACCCTACACAGGCAGATTATTGGCACTAATCACGACATTCAGCTCTAGGGTTGATGCAGCACAGCTTGACCAGGCATCACAACAAGGGTGCTCAAGTTCTGTCTTGGTATTGCAGACAACTAGCAAGGAAACTTCCCTTCTAACAGTCCCTGTTATGTGGTGTATTTTATCGTGTCTTTCCAGATCCTTCTGGCGTGTGTGCTTCCAATCATTTCTGATAAAGATGTTTCTCCATGCTTTGTTACTTAACCCAACCAATAACCTCTGTCTTGATGTTCCCTTGCCTGTCGTCCTCTACAACTTTGCCATTGTTATGAGCTCTAATGTTTGTTTCCCTTTTCATCTAAGAAGAATGTGGATTTTTTTCCTGATGGAGATGACCATTTTCTTTGTGAGTTAATTCTTCAAGGCATCCTATTTTTTTGCATCTGCCCAAGATCTTGTCAGTGTCCCTAAAGTCTGGACACATCGGCGAAATAAATATTTTCAAGAAATTAAATCTATTTACAACATTATATTCATTTGGAACATTAAATAATTTCTTCATATGACTTCCATCATCTGCGTCGTAAAGGCTGATGTGCTTTACAAAATTCATGTGAAACTGATGTAATAAACCCCCAATGCCATGAATGTTAGCACATTTCCTGTGTCCTGACGTTAGTGACACACTCTATAATATATCCTTGCAGCCTTCATATAATTCCTACCAATCTGCTAACTGTACATAATTCTCTTCTACACATCAGAACTGGCTCTATATAGCTCTTAAGAACTCTCTCATCTTGACTGATAAAGATATATTGCATAGAACATTCTTCATTCAGTGAAGTACTGTTTTTGCTTGGGCAATTCTACATTTAACATCTTTCAATACAACTTCCATCTGCTCTTACTCAGGCACAAAAATACTTGGAACACACTGACCTGCTTGAGATTAGTATGCCACTTACTCTGATTTTGCATTCTGGATTGATTTTTTTTCACTACTCTTCAATTGTCTCATGCTCTGGCCTAGTAAACATGAAGGTTTATTACTCCAAATACTTGGCACAGTACCTGTTGTTAGCTCACATTAACCTTGTGCTGCACACATGCACCCATGCACTTCATTGCAAAGATTTGATGTACACAAACCAAACGCAACCCAACCCTAACAATTAACACTTGCAGATCCATTAAAAAAACAATGTACATTTACATCACAAAAGCCGCAACTAATGAGTCTGACACCCTGCAACAGTGTAATATTTTCCCACAAGAGTTGTAGAAACAATCAAAAATAAAGCTACATTTTGGCTAGAAAGTGCCAGGATAAGCGCGGAACAGTATCAAGTTCTCCCCGCCAGTGACGGAGATGTGCAAGTTGACGTCTGCAGCCACAAAAAACACGGTTCCAGTTTTCAACTTCATGGGTGTGGACAGAGCTTCGCTGGCGGCCTGGCCCTCACCGCTAATGATGATGCAGATGCTGGCGCCCTCATAGCTCTGGAAGCGATAATCTTTTGTCCCTTTTGGAATCTGACAAAAAACAAATTAGTAGTTATTGGCATCCTAAAAAATAAAAAAATTGTTCTGCTGTTGTAGTCGTCACTATTACTAAATATGCTGCAGTTGCAGTTATTATCACCTTGCCTGCGTTGAAGTGGTCACTATTACTAAATATGCTGCAGTTGCAGTTATTATCACCTTGCCTGCATTGAAGTGGTCACTATTACTGAATATGCCACAGTTGCAGTTATTATCACCTTATCTGCTGTTGTAGTGGTCACTATTACTAAATATGCTGCAGTTGCAGTTATTATTACCTTGTCTGCTGTTGTAGTGGTCACTTTTACTAAACAAGCTGCAGTTGCAGTCATCATCACCTTGTCTGTTGTTGTAGTGGTCACTATTACCCTTCTGCTGCTGTAGTAGAAATTATTAACGTCACTGATGTAGTGGTCACTTTAACCTTGCCTTATGTTGTAGTGGTCATTATTACCCCGTAAGCCACTGTTAAAGTCGAGATGATCAACCTCACTGCACTAGGCTTTATCTCATATGGCTTGGTCTCTCTCTGCAGCATGGCTAGCCACCTGTTGAAAGTGTCGCCCGGATCACAGTGGTGATTCCCGGGGGTCCCCGTACAAACTGCATTTTTGAACTGAGCAACGCATCCATAAAACAAACCTACAACCTTCAGAGCCCAAGGCAAAAGAATTGACCACTCGCCCATGCAGACCCCCTGTTGGGCACTGTAATAGTCATCACTACTGTCTGCTTTTTTTGCAGACATGACTTTGCAGCCTTTATTAATTAGCACCTCACCTCCCCCCCCCCCCCCCCCCCCCACCCCCCCCCCCACCCCCAAACCAAAGCTTCTAGCAAAACAATGTTGTCAGATAAGTGCTCTATCCACTCTACTGAATAACCCACCTTACCGATCTCAACAGGATTATTAAAACGTTAGTTAGTATATCTTTCACAGGACATTGCAGAACTAACTCCAACATTTTTTTGGTTGTTTGCTTTTACTAGGCATTGTTGCGTTCAGCAGTTTGCCACTGCTTTCTTAATGGTCGACTCTCGATACCATTATTAAAACCAATGCAAGGCAGTCTGCTGCCAAAATCGCTGCAGCTTAAATCAAAATAAGTACCTCAGAATTACAAAGCTAGTGCTAGCCCTATGTGTTTTTTTGTTTTAAGAGACCAATCGGCACTGGATGCTTGATGTGCTGTCTGTCTTTTATTTCCAGACTTTACCTGGTATCTGTTTTAGGCTGGGTCACCCTGAAGCCAAAGTCAATTTTGGGGAAGAGGGCAACAAATTCTGCCTCAATGTGGACTGGAACATTATACTTTCTGCTCCGTATGTGAGCGCCCTACACTACCACACCACCACAATATTGGTACTGACCGATCAGCATTTGAAAGCAGAGGTAAACCTCAAGCCAGCCTCTATTACTTTCTGGGACAATTTCCTCACACTCATTTTAGACTGGTGTGACCCGGGGGCCTTTTTAAAACATTAAAAACCCCAACCACTAGAAAAGCAGTCAAAGTATGCAATCCCCTGTAACCCTGGTCCCTCAACAGGCTTCCCTCAGCAGGCTTTCCCTCAACAGGCCTTCCTTCAAAAGGCTTTCCTTCAGCAGGCTATCATTCAACAGGCCTTCCCTCAATAGGCTTTCCCTCAACAGACTTTCTCTCAACAGGCTTTCCCTCAACAGACTTATTTGTACGCAGATTGCTGGTTCCTTGCCTCTCAGGCAGATGTATTCTGACTTCAACAGAAACACCTAATTAGTTGACTCTCATTGACGACATGCTTGTTAGAGAGGCAAAGAGTCTATTCTAACACCCACTCCTACCCCCAAATGGGGCCACATAGGGTTTTGTAAATCTGACCTTCAAATGCAGCCACAGTAGCATGTTCAACTGCTAGCCTGAAGGTCTTGTGGTTTGAATCCAAATCAAGTCCAACTATTTTGAAGTTACCATGGTTCCCAGGTTGTCCCAGCTTAAAATGGGTACTAGGTAATGTCATGGGAAAAAGGTGGCCAGCGTTATGCTGACTTCATCACCCACCGAGTGGCAACTGGTTTACAAAATGATAAATCCATCTTCATATGTCAATGGCCAGGAATGCTAACGAAGGCAACAAATGCCTGCAGTAGTCAGATGGGTCGGCCGAAAGGCGCAGCAAATATTGTAGCCATGTTGTAAATGGACATAATATATTTAATTATCGGATGAATGCAGAAGAAGAAGATAAGCCAATGACAGGGTATTTCATTTATTTACTCGCCTAAAAAAAAAACCAAACAACAGAAATGAAATGTCTACGAAAAATCTTAAAAGTAACTAGAAGAGACAGGATCAGAAATGACGATATCAGGAGAGAAGCTGGGATGGAACTAGTACTAAACTAAGAGACAACATATAAATGGTTTGGACATGTGTCAAGTCTACCACCAGACAGTGCACCACAGAGAGCCCTGTTACTTAAACATAATGGAAGCAGAGCCCGAGGTCAACCATGCAAGCAATGGATTGATGAAATTTCCGAGGCCAAAAATCCCAACATCTACGTAGCACACACCAAGGCTCTCAACCGATGCCTCCTCAAAACCTGGCGCTAAAAGGCGTTACAGGACTAGAGAAGAAGAAGAAGACATACCTCAAACTTGGTGACCCCAAACTCCGGCACTGGGGGGTTGAAAATGGTGACGTGGGTGTTGCTGCTGAGACTCTCTATTCCGCAGAATTTGGTGCGGCTAACTGGCCGGCCGGTGTAGTCCAGCATCTCACACAGTGTGTGCACATCAATGTACTTCACAGTCAGACCGGCACGCACCACATTGTCTGAGCAAGCCATGCATTCCATACAGTCTGTACCAAAACCAGACAGAATGTAAGCATACATGTTGTACAGGAAGTATACTTTGGGTGAATCAACACTGGACACTTATTAATTAAGGCTAGCTATCAACATACATAAATAAATCCCTAGGAATAAAATCTATAATGATTATTGTCTGATTAAAATTAGTCCATTTTTTTTTAGAGCAGCTGTTGTGTAGTGGCTAGACTCTCGCCTGTGGATCGGAAGGTTATGGGTTCGGGTCTTAACATAGCAATACTTTTTTCAAAAATGAACTTGGCTCCCAGGTTGACCCACCCCAGAGGGTACCAGGTCTAGTCCTGGGAAGGGAAATGGTTGGCGTGATGTTGACCCTATCAGCCACCCAGTGCCGAATGGTGTATAAAATATAGGTCTAGCCCTATATGCCCAATTTGCCTACAGGCATGGAAAAAGGTCATTTACTCTACCTTACTTACCCTTTGTTCTAAGTGCCTTGGCTCCCAGATTGTGATGATTAAGCTAGCTAAGAAAACACATTAATATGCTGACAGACTAGAATCTATAATGATTAAGGATAGCCAGGAACACAAACCAATATACTTCAGGACCAGAATCTATAATGATTAATGCTACCTAGGTACAGACACATGGAAAAATTCCCAGGAATAGAATCTATAATGATTAATGCTAGCTAGGAACATATAATAAATTCCCAGGAACATTCATTAGTACAGCTCATGAAACTATGATTACAGCTAGCAGGAATATTCATTAGTATAGCTCATGAAACTATATAATTAAAGGTAGCAGGAACATTCATTAGTATAGCTCATGAAACTATATGATTAAAGGTAGCAGGAACATTCATTAGTATAGCTCATAAAACTATATGATTAGAGGTAGCAGGAACATTCATTAGTATAGTTCATGAAACTATAGAATTAGAGCTAGCAGGAACATTCATTAGTATAGCTCATGAAACTATATGATTAGAGCTAGCAGGAACATTCATTAGTATAGCTCATGAAACTATATGATTAGAGCTAGCATGAACATTCATTAGTATAGCTCATGAAACTATATGATTAGAGCTAGCAGGAACATTCATTAGTATAGCTCATGAAACTATATGAATAAAGCTAGCAGGAATACTCACTGTTTAAGCTCCGAAAACTATATGATTAAAGCTAGCGGGAATAATCATCATTTAAGCTCAGTAAACCAAATGATTAATGCCAGCAGAAACATTCAGCAGTACAGCTCAGGGAACTATCAGGTTAAAACAAACAGGAACAGATCTAAATTTGACTAAACACAGAAAACTAAAACACACTTTACCTCCAGACAGGTAAGCATGTGGCAGATTGTCCTCCAGAAACATGGCCTCTCCAGGCTCCAGCTCCACGATGTTCAGAAAGTAAATGGCAAAGCAGCCACGATCGCCAGGAAACTCGCTGTTTAGCTTCAGCAATATGTCTCCTGCATAGTGGCTAATGTCTGCACCTTCATCCTCTAGAAAATACAAGATTTCAAAAGGTTACACCAGTGTTAGATGCTAGCCCTGACATCGCGAGGCATTCCAAAAGTACAGAAAAGAAAGAAGGAGGACGCGCCGGTGTTGTTGTACTGTGCGTCTGCTAGTTTTGGTTAAGCTGGCACATTTCCATCTTTTCCATACGATACTGTTGAGTTAATTCAAGACCGATATCACAGCAGTTGGGGCATTCCCATAAGCGCTCCGTCCCTATCTACAGCTGCCAGTGCAGAGTTCCGATACTATTGGTGCCAGTAGCATTCTGATTAAACATCCGCTTTGCCTTTCCTCTGAGCCTCGAGCATCTGCCAGGACCCCTCTTCGCTTCCAGCTGCATCAATCTCACCAGACTGTAGTGATCCATCTGCTCCTCCGAACTGTAGACGATTCTGTTATACTGTGCTATAGGGAGGCAGCGGAATCACAGTCCTTAGCGAAAGTCTGGGCAGTCTTGTACAGACCATGTGTTACCCCCTCTCTCCCCTGCCCTGTTTACTTCAAAAACAAAAGTTACAGCATTATATGGTACTAAACATGCTGTGCAAGCCATTGGTTTAGAAGAGCAGTGCTCTGTCTGTTCCCTTTTTGGATTCCCTCCTAGACCAGCTGCCAACCAAGGCTGGTGTGCCCTGCCGTAACATTATATTTTAAGGTTACATTTCCTCTTCCTAGTATAGGTCTAGTATCCTCTTCATTGCCTGAAGTTGCTGGCACAGTGTATGGTTAATCTTTCTTTATTCACTATTTAACACTCCGCGTTAACAGAGAACAGGTAGTTCTGACAAATGTTACTGGGTAGCTCAGTCATATCTGCCGAATATCTAACAAGAAATGCTCTGTAAAGTTTACACAATTAACCAAGACCTAACAAAAGATGCTCTGTAAAGTTTACACAATTAACCAAGACCTAACAAAAGATGCTCTGTAAAGTTTACACAATTAACCAAGGCCTAACAAGAGATGCTCTGTAAAGTTTACACAATTAACCAAGACCTAACAAAAGATGCTCTGTAAAGTTTACACAATTAATCAAGACCTAACAAGAGATGCTCTGTAAAGTTTACACAATTAACCAAGACCTAACAAAAGATGCTTTGTCAAGTTTACACAATTAACCAAGACCTAACAAAAGATGCTCTGTAAAGTTTACACAATTAACCAAGACCTAACAAAAGATGCTCTGTAAAGTTTACACAATTAACCAAGACCTAACAAGAGATGCTCTGTAAAGTTTACACAATTAACCAAGACCTAACAAGAGATGCTCTGTAAAGTTTACGCAATTAACCAAGACCTAACAAGAGATGCTCTGTAAAGATTATGCATTTAACTAAGATCTAATAAGAGAAGCTTTGTAAAGATTATGCAATTAACTAAGGCATAATAAGAGGTTCTCCGTAAAGTTTATGCAATTAACAAAGATCTAATAAGAGATTCTCTGTAAAGTTTATGCAGTTAACAAAGACATAAAAAAAGATTCTCCGTCAAGTTTATGCAGTTAACTAACACATACATCATATGAATGAGACACTTACTCAGCTTTTTCACTCTGGTGACCAGCAGGTTCAACGTACGGGTGATGACCTCGGTGCTCCTTTCCATGAGGCTCTTGAAAGCATGCTTCATGGCTTCCCGATGCAGTGGCATGTCCATAGAGTGGCTTGCTGTTATCAGTTTGACCGACTTCTCACCCACAGCTTCTCGGAATTCATCAACGCCTGATTGTGAACAACAGCTGTTATCATCAACCAACAATCCAGTAATAGTTAAAGTAAGTAAATTACTGTTTCTTCCACCAGTTACCTCTGTGAAGTGTAAATGTGGTCATGTAGGAATATTCAGTACTACGTAAGTCGTAAGTTGGTTTTCATTCCTCTGCTTTCGTTTCTGATTCTTTGAGACGGCTAACACGGGCAACAAATGTCTGCAGAAGTCGTATGTGTCGGCCGAAAGGCACAAACACTGCAGCAATGCTGTAAATGGGCACATTGACATCTTCAGATGAACGTTGAAGAACAGGAAGTTCTTGATTTTGGTGCTCCATCTTTTATGCAGTCTTCCCGTTTGCTCTGCGCTGATGTTTTTTCAAAGAGACTGTTAGTACCAGGGCATTCTTGTCAGATATCCAAACTATTTCATTTGTTGTTCTCTAAAGGAATTAAATAACTGGTCTTCTGTTAATTTTTCTTTTTCTTTTTTTAATCTCTCCTTGTTACTCGAGCAGCTCTTTAAGACACAGCATCTTTGCTGTTATCTTCTTCTTCCTCTTTGTTTACCAGCTGTAAGTTCCAGCCGAAAGTTCTCACTGTTTGTCCGTCTGGACGTTGGCTTTGTGCCAGAGCCTGAGTTTTGTGTGTACATCCTTTTACTGGCTTATTTGTGCGCAGCTGGTTGTTCCTTGCCACTCGGATAGATGCACTCTGACTTAAAAGGAGGCACCCAATTAGTTGACTCCTACGACATGCTTTTTTTTTTGGGTAGGCAGTGGGTCTATTTTCATTTCCCCCCACAACTGAGCCTCAGAACCCACAAAGGGATCTCTGTTGTTAAAATGTTCTGCTATTTATGTAGTAAGGTGCCTATTTATAACAGAGGTGGCATAATGTATGGGCAACTGAAAACAAGATGATCTACATGTTCATGCAGGTGCATAATTGTCATCTTCTCTGCTGTTCACGTCAAACTAACATCTACATGTCCACCGTAGAGTATAAAGCACTCCAACTCTGTGGGGAAGGCAATGTCTCACTCTGTGGGGAAGGCAATATCTCACTCTGTGGGGAAAACAATGTCTCACTCTGTAGGGAAGACAATGTCTCACTCTATGGGGAAGGCAATGTCTCACTCTGAGTGGAAGGCAATGTCTCACTCTGAGTGGAAGGCAATGTCTCACTCTATGGGGAAGGCAATGTCTCACTCTATGGGTAAGGCAATGTCTCACTCTATGGGGAAGGCAATGTCTCATTCTGTGGGAAAGGCAATGGGGAGGGGCGGCAATGTCTCTCTCTGTGTGGGAGGCAATGTCTAACTCTGTGGGGGGAGGCAATGTCCGACTCTGTGGGGGGAGGCAATGTCGTGCTTTGTGGGGAAGACTTCTGATAATACAAACACTGGTGATAAACAGCGTAGTGATCTCAAAATTTACTTTGCAGAAAGTGGGCCACTTCTTTGATTGGCCGAAATCCACAGAGGGCAGTAAATTTAGTCAGAGCTATAGCCATCTCCGGTTTGTGATTGTCATCTTTATACAAATCTGGCAGGGTTGCATGCAAAATTTCTGCAAGCACCTGCCAAAAAAACAAGTAAAAGCATTAATCAATAAAAACTAAGAAAAGCCCTCAAAATAAAGAATTAAAACTAAAATCTAGGTTACATAAAAAAAAAGGACCACGGACATGCACAGATGATTCAATGCAGGCACACACAGAACTAAAAAAAGCTGATCCCAGAAAGCAAATACGAAATGGAATCTACTTAACGGGATGAAACATATGATGATGATTTGCACACACAAAAATGAAAATGTATCCTTTAGATCAGAGATGGGGAGTCGCTGTGGCCGAGCGGCTAGGCACTCGCCAGGGTTCGGAAGGTCCTGAGTTTGCTCCCAGATTGACCCGGATTTTTTTAAAATGACCTTGGCTCCCAGGTCAACCCAGCCTTGAGTGAGTACCGGGTGCAGTCCCGGGAAGTAAAGGCGGCCGGCGTGATGCTGACCACATCACCCATCTTGTGCCGATTGGTCTATAAAAATATAGGTCTAGCCCTATATGCCCTATACGCCTAATGGTGTGGAAAAGGGTTTTTTACGTTTTTTTTTTTACTAGATCAGAGATGGGCAACATTTTTATTATCCGTGGGAAAATTTTAAAATTACCAACCTGAAAATACCAGCTTCACAACAGATCTAGCCGCAAGCAATATTTTCAACAACAAAATCCATTTTAAATCTTACACCCACATTTTCTCATAACACAATATTTTTGTGGGATATTCTAAGACTAAAATCTCTCGCTGCACCTCTGGGCAGACATACTTGCCCTCTCAAGTTATTTTATAGATTCTTTGCATACAAACGTATGTTTTTGTGTACTGCTATTGTGCGAGTTCAAAGACAGAATTATACGTCAATTTTTCACCAGCCTCACAGTAAAGGTAATAATTGCTTGGCGGGCAGGTTTTGTATAGATGTGAATTTAAACTGATAACTCCTGCATCGGCAGGCAGGCATGCCAGCCACTGATCATCAGTCATGGATAAGCAAGCTGCTGCGATACACAGTTGAAAACTAGTTGCCCGTACCAAATAAACATACTATCAACAGAACACATTAAGTTGTTCCTAAATGGCAGTCAATAAGAATCAACATACAAACACATATTACATTCTGGTATACACAACCTTCAAAAGCAGGCATCAAAATAGATAAAACCATTGTAAAACTAATAGAAAATAAAAATGCAATGTTTATCCTTCCACTACCGAAGGCCCATATTTCGGCTTTGCCATTGGTTACAATCCCAATTATATACCAGCCTTCCTTCGGTGGCCAGTCCCTGACAAGCTTAGTTAGTGGTACTGGTTCTGTCCGCACTTGTTTACTAAAAAATAGTATTGGGAGGGGGTGGGGGGTGTTAATTATAGAGTCAAGGGAATGAAGTTGTTTAATTCTTTGCTCAATTCGTGTTGATTGATTACTTCACTTCATTTATCTTTTTCATGCATATAATTAAATGCCTTTTTTTTTTTTTTTTTTTGTATTAGTGGCCTGTTTAAAATGGGTTTTCCTTATTTATTTTTATTTTTTATTTTTTCAGGAATTCCTTGGTTTAGGATGAATGGGTTGAATAATGAGAATGTAAATAATGGGACACTGCTTCGGAACAGCGGTCTTCCTCCTCCTCCTGCTCCACCAATTACATGTGCCAACAACCATCAATCACAAAGGTAAAGTTATTCTGTATTTTTATATTATATAATTTTGCAATTCATAAATCCAGAAATCAAAAACACAACATGTCTCTGGGGCGGGCAAACAGACTAATCAAATCTGCATTAAATTGAATGGTAAAAAATGTCTTCGGGTAGCGAATATTTCAGTTTGCGAACGGAGTCAAAGAATGAATGAAGTTCACGACATGAGGTACTACTGTATATGCTATCAAATACAGACAGCAGGAACACAATTTCAGTGTTGTCCAGGAGACACATTTGGCTCAAGATAAAAAATGTCACCAGCCCACTATATGTAACAGTAAATGTTGGTCGTAAAAGTCATCATCCCGATAGGGACAGAAAAATCCATAACTGATAAGGGAGAAGAAAATATCTCAATATTAATCAAGAAAGTTGAACAATAATAATAATTAGGCAAAAATATTTCAAGATCAATAACATGCTTGTTATAAAATTACAAATTTTCCACTCTCCAACAGCATGTCGTAGGAGTCGACTAATTAGAAGCTTCCTTTGAAGTCAGAGTGCATCTGCTTAAACTCAAGGAGCAACCTACTGCACATGAATACGCCAGTAAAATAGACAGATGTACACGTGAAACTCTGGCCCTGGCACAGACCTAAGGTTCAAACAGACGAACAACCAGGACTTTCCACCTGAGCTTACAGCAAGTGAACAAAGAAGACGAAATTACAGATGAATAGTTATTATAATCCCCACATCAAAGAATAATGAGACTGTGAGAGCAACACTTGTGCCAAATACATCAACCTTCGGTTCTGAGCCCCATTGTGGGGGATAACAAGAACAGACCTACTACCTTCCCAACAAGCATGTCGTAAGAGTCGACAAACTGGGGACTTCCTTGGAAGAATTGAAAGAGCAAATGAATGAATGAAGAAATAAATAAATAACTGACATTACTGCATTCTGGCATCCCCACAGATGCTCTGTCCCCTTCCTCAGAAGCCAACAAAGAGTTCCCACAAAACCATCCTGGTCCCCTCCTCCCCGCTCTCTGAATCTGTCTCTCAAAGTGAGGATGCTGCGTCTGCTTCAATGCACTGTTCACTTGATCCCAGAGAACATCCACTATATCCACTATGTCATAAAGTAGCTCATCGCTCTCAGGAGCAGAAGCAAAAGAGTCATGGGGTTTTTAAAAAATAATTAATATAAGCTAATGAAAGCTGAGTACGAAACCTTGTTCGGGTGTGCCTGAATGGACAGCGCTGTTTTCACCGACAAAACTTTGAACAAAAATGGTAGGTTGCCCTTGAAGTAAGAATTCATTTCTGTGCCTAGCTGCTCTGGGTGTTCTTTGATCCACTGAGATAGAGGAACTGACGGGTAGCCTGGGATACTGACAATGGATGGACCATTGGGATGTGTGCCCATCCATAGCTGTGTAAACATTCAGAAACAAGTAAGCAATGTTCACATGTGAAACACAAAAACAGTTTTATAACACTTATATAGTAATGAAACATAATCTAAGAATGATCAATTCTTTACCGTATTTCCCCTTCCAGATCCTAAAATTTCAAGGCTTGACACTAAGTGACTCAAAGAGTCACTGTTCAGATGCCAACCTAACAGGAACAAATCCCAGCACCCCATTCAACGGTATAAAACAGTTATACTCTGCTATCCTCCAGCTACACATAGCAACCTACCGCCCTGTGTGGGTAGGAGACTAAGCTGGCACACATACAGAGTGTAAAAGATTATATTGAACACATGCTGGACATAAAATGCAGCTAAGTTATGGGGAAAAGCCTACAAGAAAAGTCAGGAATTTAGTAGAGGAGTAATACAAAAAAGTTTACATGCTGCCCTTATTCATCTCTTTGTGTCCCGGAAATAAATGACTAAGAAAAATCATGAAGATGAAATGGGATGATTTCAAAAGGAGTGAGAAGATCGGAGAAATGTCTGGTTAAACACTAGTATCAACTGAAATAAGACAGAAAAGGTGGAGATTTATTGGGCACACTCTGAGACAAAATGGGCAAATAATTACAAAGCAAGCAAATGGGAAACAACGGTCTGGGAAACGAGGACATCCAAGGGAAACGTTAAGAAGAATGTTATTATGAGAGACTAAAAATGCTGGATTGGAATCCATGTCAGAAATCGTCCAAAGAGTTGCATGTAATAGAGCAGAGTGGAGAAATCGAATGCAAGCCCTATGTGACATCCAATGGCACACAAGGGATGAGGATCATGATGATCATGTTTCAAGAAATGCGTCATGTGTTCCCTGTGTGGGTTCAGGAGCCTTATTTGCAAGGAAAGGGGTTAATTGGGAAAGGGGGGATAGGGACTGAGGATAGACAATGAAACAAAACATCCATTTCCCAGCGTGTCAGTCTCCCAGTATTATATAATAATCAACACTGATGTGTCAACATCACTAACATAAACTACTTCTGCCATTAAGCGTCATGGGGAGGAGAAATTTGTGATCCAGTGCATGCTGGCTGCCACTGGCTATTGTCATGCCGTGAAGGCGTAGAATGTCACCTGGTGTGCGATGTGATTAATACCACACTGGCTGCCTCCATTTCCCAGAAATGTTCGTGGTACCCAATTGTTGGACTGGTAAAGGACCCTTTTCACACAAGTGGGGCAGGGCATTGGGTATATGATGCTAGGCTCACATTTTTACAGACCCACCAACACTCAATGGGTGATGTGGTCAAGATGACGCCAGACACCTTTATATCCCAGGACTTTTTTTTTTAGGCTGGGATGACCTGGTAGCCAAGGTCAATTGTTTGTTTAATCCACCTTGGTGCAGATACTGAACCTTGACCTTTGGGCCAGAAGGTCTACACTACCAAGGCTCAGTTTTAAAAGTTCATCTGTTTGGGGTTTCATACACATGATCACCATGGCAGCAGGCAAAGGTGTTAATTCTTGTGCAACCTTAAATAATGACCATATCTTCTTCTTCTTTTTCTTCTTATTTATTCACTGGCTGTAAGCTCCGGCAGAAAGTCCTGGTTGCTCGCCCATTTGGATTTGGTTTTGTGCTAGAGCCTGTATTAGGATTGTACATCCATTTAACAAGCTTATCTGTGTGCAGCTGGTTGTTCCTTGCCGCTTGGATAGATGCACTGACTTCAAGGAAGTTCTCAATTAGTCGACTCCTCCGACATGCTTGATAGGGAGGCAGTGGGTCTGTTCTCATTTTCCCCACAATGGGTCCCCGGAACCCACACAGGGATAATGACCATATAATTCATCAATTCATCATCCAGTTGTGCCAGCATATGTTACAGAGACCTTGCAGTCTATTTCTCCATTCCTTTCTATCCTGTGCAATAACTGATATTATGGATGGAATCCAGTCCAGCACATTTAGCTTCTCTCACCATTGTTCACTTTAGGGTTTCTCTTTTCATTAACCTTGATTTCCCATTTCAATGTCTGTTTCATCTGCACCACTGGGTGGTGAACTGATACATGACAAGGCACATGTGGTCAAGGCCCTTTCGGAACAAGCAACAGAATCAGTAGAGAAAAAAGATTATCATGGCCTGGAGAGAATAAGGCATCTGGGTGTAACAGAGGGTCTGGCCAGCTGACTACACTCAGAGGAAAGGCAAGACATATAATCAGATTGTGACCGGTACCATCAGTATTGGAACTCTTGAGTTGGCTGCTGAAGATGAGGATAGTGCATACATGGGAATGCCCCGAGTGCTCTGATGTCAGTTCTTGACTCAACTCAATTCAATGTCTGTTTCATGATTCTCTGTCTCTTCTCAAAATTTGGCACCATCTTCTCTGCCTTATAACTGTTGCTTTTAGTGGTTGCCATAACATTTATTTTTTCACACCTCTGGAATTCATCCAATTCTGTGTTCATTTTCCTGAGACATTTGTTTTAGAATGCATTTAACTTTCAATCCATCTCTTTAGTTGTTCTCCAACTTTAGCTTGCATATGTTAAAAATGAAATAACATCAGCACTAAAATTACATAACTTGGCTCTATAACTATGTAATTTAGAGCTTCCTATTATGTTCAACCTTTTAAAGCTGCTGATACCTTGCAAAAGAATGATACAGTTCTAGCCTCATAATTTTATAGACAAATCAGTTAGGACTCAATGATAATATGGTCAATATCATTAAGGCAGTCTTACATCAATAGAGCAGCAGAACAGAAAATAACTATCTGTGCAATGTGCTGTCTCCCCATAAGGTCACTAGCAACACTAGAAAGGACATGGTTACAAATACCAGCATTAGGTAGAAACATGAATTATACTGACAGGCAATTAATGAACTGGTTCGGTCCAAATAGTCATGTAGAGAGAATGCAGACAGACCAAACAGCATATGAGACCTTTAACAGCAGAACATGTGAGGGGCAGATCAAGACAAATGAGGATAATTGGTGTTTTTGAAACATGCAAAAAAAGGTTAACAAATCCACCACCCAAGTTACCTAAGATGTGAAAGTCAAATCAGAAAAACACAACACTGGACTACAATCTGGTATCAGTGAGACGACAAAAGAAGAAAGATGAAGGAGTGTTTACATCCTGAATATTTTCTGGTACACATTATAAAGATGGGCTGACCTAGAAACTCAGGTAATTTTAAAAATACCCCCCCCCCCCCCCTTTCCCCCTGTTAAGTTACAATCTATAAATTTTAAGGCAAAACTACAACCCTAACCTGCAAACTTCACTTCATGGTAACAGCACTAATCATTTGGCCCCAAATCCTCAGACTCACATATCCCACCCGTCTGCCTACACGTCAGAGTGGCAAATGCAGGCAGTAATGACAGTTTTGGCAGTATGTGACTCTTCCTAATTTTCTTATTCTTCAGTGTTTGCTCATAATACTGAAACATATTTATTAGAGGGAACGTTAGTTTTTTTTTTTTTTTTACTTTAATGCCTCCAAAATGGGGCCCTGGAACCCACACAGGAGTTTTTATTTTATTTTCATTGTTTGCTCATAAATGACTACAGCATCTGTGCTTTTCAGATCAATACATCCAATTTTAGAAATGCCTAATTAGCTATCCTTTATGTCATGCATATCCCCGGGCATGAAGGAAGTCTTTACATCCGTAGTGCAGGCAGCAGAGCACCTTGTTCTGGCTTCAACGATGATATTCAGAGATGACAGTTCAGAGAGCTAGTAAACGTAAATTGCCTAGTAAAATCACAAACAGCCAACAAAATGCTAGGGTTGGTTCTACAGTGCCCTGTAAAAGCACACAACTAATTTTATTAGATGGACAGTTTTTTATTTTTTATTTTACTGCCTCCAAAATGGGGCCTTAGAACTCACACAAGAATTTTTTATTTTCAAAATATGGCCAGGTTCACAGCCTACTCTAAAAGAGATCCTGTCTCATTGTGTCTGGACATGAGATGAGAAAGAAAGAACTTAGTAAAACTGACAAGATTGATGGAAAGAGAGCAAGAGGAAGGCCAAGACATAAAATATCTGGATAAGCTGGCCACAAGGATAAGGCGAGATAAGAATACTGACCTGATCTGTCATTCTAGATGATTGTGTGGGATGGCAAAACATGACAAGCTATGCTTACCAGCTAGGTACATGATGATGATGATGATCCAAGTGATCTTTAATGTGTGCAATATGAACAAGATTAATTTAGAATACCACAGAAACATCTTGACAAAACCCAAAAAAGTCTGTTTCTCACCCAATCCCATTTTTGGGGGGAAATGAACAGGCAGATCGACAGGATGGTTCTGCATCAATGGTCATGGAGAGTGAATTTATGCGTGACACACTAGATGTAGTCAAAGGCCTTCGGGAGCAAGTGAACAAAACGGAGGCATGAACAGATCATTATGGTCCGGAGAGAATGGTACAGCTAGGTGTGACCAGGAGACCTGGACGACACTCTACACTCAGAGGACAGGCAAATCAGATATATATTAAAACTGCAACTGATCCCATTGGAACTGGTATTCTTAAACAGCTGCTGAAGAGAGGAAGGTGCACTTATGGGAATGTCTCGAGTGTTGTGATGTCAGGTCATAGCTCAACAGTCAAGATTCAACTCCCATTTACGCAGTAATAAATTAATCCCACGCCAGCCAACTCCATATAAATGTCCTGACTAAACACTTACCTCTGCGTAAGGTGTCTGCTCATCTATTACGAAGTCCGGATCAGCAGCAGCTTTTAGTCTAGCTACCACACTTTCAGAGCCTTTCTTGCCCCAGGCATACTGCTGCACAGCACACTTTAGCTCAAATACTGCAAGCACAGTTCAAGGCAATTACGCATTAAATTAGGCGGCCAAACATATTTTATTTCCTTGCAACTTTCCTCCTCCTCCTCTGTCTCTCTCTCTCTCACACACACACACACACACACACACACACACACACACAGACGCACGCGCGCGCACACATACACAGAAATTCAAAAAAAAAAAAATTTTTATTACCAGGCGATGAAATGGGAAATAAATTAGCTCAGTAAAAGAGGATGATCTAGAGAACCCCCTGTGATGAACGATGACATGACCCTTGTGAGGGTAAGGGTCACGCGGATATGAGGCTGCAGCAAAATTCAAAATATGTGAATATTACAAGGTACACACAAACTGCACAAGCCACCTGAACTTCATGTGGCCAGGGAACAAGTTTGAGTAATGAGCAAGCTGAAGGCAGTCATCAACCAAGCCTCCAGTCTGGACAACTAGAATGTGGCGATGCCACATGGGGCACAGTAGTAGTAGCTGTAGTAATAACAGCAGTGACAGACAGTTCAATTAGCAGCAGCTGTAGTAATAACAGCAGTGAGAAACAGTTCAATCAGCAGCAGCTGTAGTAATAACAGCAGTGAGAAACAGTTCAATCAGCAGCAGCTGTAGTAATAACAGCAGTGAGAAACAGTTCAATCAGCAGCAGCTGTAGTAATAACAGCAGTGAGAAACAGTTCAATCAGCAGCAGCTGTAGTAATAACAGCAGTGAGAAACAGTTCAATCAGCAGCAGCTGTAGTAATAACAGCAGTGAGAAACAGTTCAATCAGCAGCAGCTGTAGTAATAACAGCAGTGAGAAACAGTTCAATCAGCAGCAGCTGTAGTAATAACAGCAGTGAGAAACAGTTCAATCAGCAGCAGCTGTAGTAATAACAGCAGTGAGAAACAGTTCAATCAGCAGCAGCTGTAGTAATAACAGCAGTGAGAAACAGTTCAATCAGCAGCAGCTGTAGTAATAATAGCAGTGAGAAACAGTTCAATCAGCAGCAGCTGTAGTAATAATAGCAGTGAGAAACAGTTCAATCAGCAGCAGCTGTAGTAATAACAGCAGTGAGAAACAGTTCAATCAGCAGCAGCTGTAGTAATAATAGCAGTGACAGACGATTCAATCAGCAGCAGCTGTAGTAATAATAGCAGTGACAGACGATTCAATCAGCAGCAGCTGTAGTAATAACAGCAGTGACAGACAGTTCAATCAGCAGCAGCTGTAGTAATAACAGCAGGGACAGACACTTCAATCAGCAACATTTGTAGTAATAACAGCAGTGAGAAACAGTTCAATCAGCAGCTGTAGGAATAACAGCAGTGACAGACGCTTCAATCAGCAGCAGCTGTAGTAATAACAGCAGTGACAGACAGTTCAATCAGCAGCAGCTGTAGTAATAACAGCAGTGACAGACACTTCAATCAGCAGCAGCTGTAGTAATAACAGCAGCAGTGACACTTCAATCAGCAACAGCTGTAGTAATAACAGCAGTGACAGACACTTCAATAAGCAACAGATGTAGTAATAACAGCAGTGACAGGCAGTTCAATTAGCACCAGCTGTAGTAATAACAACAGTGAGAAACAGTTCAATCAGCAGCTGTAGTAATAACAGCAGTGACAGACACTTCAATCAGCAGCAGCTGTAGTAATAACAGCAGTGACAGACAGTTCAATCAGCAGCAGCTGTAGTAATAACAGCAGTGAGAAACAGTTTAATTAGCAGCAGTTGTAGTAATAACAGCAGTGACAGACGCTTCAATCAAGAGCAGCTGTAGTAATAACAGCAGTGACAGACACTTCAATTAGCAGCAGCTGTAGTAATAACAGCAGTGACAGACACTTCAATTAGCAGCAGCTGTAGTAATAACAGCAGTGACAGACACTTCAATTAGCAGCAGCTGTAGTAATAACAGCAGTGACATACAGTTGAATCAGCAGCAGCTGTAGTAATAACAGCAGTGACAGACACTTCAATCAGCAGCAGCTGTAGTAATAACAGCAGTGACAGACGCTTCAATCAGCAACAGTTGAAGTAATAACAGCAGTGACAGACACTTCAATCAGCAACAGCTGTAGTAATAACAGCAGTGAGAAACAGTTCAATCAGCAGCAGCTGTAGTAATAACAGCAATGACAGGCAGTTCAATCAGCAGCAAATGAATTAATAACAGCAGTGACAGTTCAATCAGCAGCAGCTGTAGTAATAACAGCAGTGACAGTTCAATCAGCAGCAGCTGTAGTAATAACAGCAGTGACAGTTTAATCAACAGCAGCTGTAGTAATAACAGCAGTGACAGTTCAATCAGCAGCAGCTGTAGTAATAACAGAGTGACAGACACCTCAATCAGCAGCAGCTGTAGTAATAACAGCAGTGACAGACACTTCAATCAGCAGCAGCTGTAGTAATAACAGCAGTGACAGACGCTTCAATCAGCAGCATCTGTAGTAACAGCAGCAGTGACAGACACTTCAATCAGCAGCAGCTGTAGTAATAACAGCAGTGACAGAGTGATAGTTGAGCTAGTAGTAGTGGCTTCATATTTAAATTTAAATCAACTGTCATTATTTTAATAGAATTAGATGCCCGTACAAGAACTATGTCGCTGTGTGTTATCCGCTGCAACTTAAACTGTCTCCTGAGAATAATTGCGCAATGAAATCTAGCATGCATGTTGTAAGAGGTGACTGGGAAGGATTGGCAAGAGACTGACTACCCCAAGCTGTAAAAGTATAGCTAAAAACTCCAACCAACCATTACAAAAAAAAATCAAATCATACAGGCAGTGGAATGGGAAACAAATAGATGGACGAAACGAGAATCTCCAAAAGAAACCAAAAATTAATGCTGACGAGAGAGACTACCTCAAGATGCACAAGTTTAGCAACAAAATCCAACCATCAATGAGTAAGCCTCAAGTCAAAAAGGCACTGAAATTAGAATCAAATGGATTGAGGAAACGAGGATCTTCAAGAGAAACCTAAAATAAACATTAACGAGAGTGGCAAAAGGTGCCAGACTGGATTCTATCCACAATATCAAAAGGATTACCAAGGATAGAACGGATGAGAGGAATAAACTGCACACCTTTTGTGACATATAACAGCACAAGATAATGATCATGATGATGATGATGTGAGGGGAGAAATAATTCAGCAAACCAAAATTAAATGGGGTTTTTCTATAAAGTTTGAAGTTACACACAGAAAGTTGTTAGAGTTCTGATGACCAGTTTTCAATTAAGAAAATTTCTAAAACTTTTCCTTTCCTTAGATTAGCTTGAAGTAAATTATCTATTGAAGTAAATTATCTATATCTGCAGTGTTGATTCTAGTATGAACTACACACGTCTGTTGTAATTCAATTTGTGACCCTTAAAGTTTGGCTTGTTTCTCTTGTGTTTCTCTTGGGGAAATTCTGCCTTAATATGTTGTATCTGGAGCACTCTTAGAGGACGTAATTTGTAATTTGTCTTAGGTGCCAGTCCACGTGTGCCAATCTTAAATTTTGTGTACATGTGGCTGCAAAGTCCTGTTCAAAGGCGTAGAATAATGACTTTCTCCGGTCTGTCCATTACAAGGTAAATCGTCTTGTGCTGGTTTTGGTAACTTTCTACTGATCTGATTATTCTCTTCATCTGTTGATAATCTAAAACTGATCTGGTGTGTTTGAATTATGAAAGAGAAAGACAATACAAGTTGTAGGGGCAAAGCAATTTGGGATTGTTATCTTCTTCAGAATTCTGAGCCCTTGAGGTTCACCACTGCAGATATCACACACCTTCATTCATCTCTCTTGCAGGCCTTCTCTTTCCAGCTGATAACCAAGTGTTTGCAGGTCAGTCTGGATATTATCTCTTCATGGTCTTCTTGGTCGGCCTCGTTGTCTACGACTTTTTGTCTCCCTGTGTACACAGTTGTTACCTCTCTGTCATCTGACATTCTTTCAATAGGTTCCAGCCATTTCAGTCTATTAGCCCTTCTGATGCCAGTGATCAATGGGGATTTTAACAGATTATGAATTTCGTTGTTGCTTCTTCCTCTTCATTCCCTGCTGTGTGTGTGTCTGATGGGTCAGAGGATAGACCATTAAAAAAAATGTGGGATTGTGCAATGCACAAATAGAAAAGTGCAGGCAAAAAGCTGTCATACACAAGAGAAACTGTCAACCTCAAACCACAGAGAGTGACATGCTCCTCATGGTGAGGTAGTAGCCTGTCACGACACTGTCTCGGAGCTGACAGTCAAGACAAAACAAGATCACATGTGATATGCAAATGAACCTACCACCACACCTCTCACTCACTTTCTGGCATAGCCCTAATGCTAACGGTAAGGTTAAATAAGTAAAGAAAAACTGTTACACCAAACTTCAAAGTATCTAGGTAATAAAAGACACTGCAGTCCCACAATTGTGAAGGATGACATGGAGGTCAAGACAAGATCATATAAAACAGCTTAGGTTTATGATATCATAGGAAAACACTTGCACTAATGCATGATAATCCTTTGAAGTGAACAGAAATTAAACCCAGTACTGCTCTTTGAATTTCAGATACATGAAAATCAAATAGAACAATTAATAATTAACTCAAAACATTCACAAACTGGTATCTACATAACACAAGACTAAAATGGTAGAACAGAACAGAATCACTATTGTGCAATTTATTTCAAAAACTAAAACTCATATAAATCAAAAGGTGAGGAAAGACACTGTCACTGGTTAGGACTCACATTAGGAAAACCAGATAATAGTATAACTAGAAAACTCCCTCTCTAGAACTCACAGGACAGAATATATATAGAGAGATTTAGGGACACAGGTATTAGAGAATTAGAGATGGAGATAAATGGTGTGAGAAGAACGTGGGGGTAGTTGCAGAAATTAGTAAACGGTGGCATGAGAGCCTATTCTTCCCTGTGAGGATAAAGGGAATAACAGAATATGGGAAACTTCTGTATTTGGTAAATGACCTTGAACAGTTAAGGACTTGTTTGTTTTTGCGTGCAAAGAAATGTATTTTTGGACACATAGATTCTATGAAATACACATAAATCTTTGAGAAATTATAGACAAAATAAAGGAAACAACAATACTAAGAATTTCAGAAATGGGAGTAGGTCAGTATGAGATGCCATAGTTTCAAGCAGGCTTACATGTTCATGCATACAGAAGTAATAGCATAAAGCTGAATATCTAGGGTAGGCTTCATTGCAGACTCGGCCAAGAACAAATTGTTCACAGAATACATTCTCAAAACGTTTAAACCTCTTAGCATGGACGGGCCGATTATCGGCCGTCGGATGTCTGGCCAAAAACACAGAACGGCCGATCATCAGCTCGATCGTGTTTCGCCAAGACATGCTAATAAATTTCCTATTTTGAAACACTGAAAGGGATTCTTTTATATTCACTGCTATATTAGCTTTACACATGGTGAATCTTTAGTGTTTGGTATCGAAGTGAAAATTGTTGAATTTTTTTTTTAGATAGTGACCTGAACCGCTAAAAGTATGTCTGACTCGTATGTTTCTGCCCTTAAACTTGATGTTGTTAAAACATTTGAATCAAGTGATGACACTAATTCTATTGAGACTGATGCAGGAAATAGTGTTATTAGTAATAGTGGGGAATCAGATGGGGACGCTGTAGTGTTCAGACCACAGTCCAACCATGGCTCAGGGTATATCCACCCGAAGATGTTGACACTCCGGCACATCCATTTCTGGTGCTGACTGATGGTCAAAAACATGTCACCTAAAAATATTATTGTTGTTTCATATACATATATATACCTGTTTTTGACTATTGAACTGCTTACAACATTTGTAAAAAGGCTGAAGATCAATAAAAAGATTTCAAATAAAATATATTTTTGTTTCTAGTTACATGTTTCATGCATTGAAGCTGAAAATTCATATTCTAATTTTCTATTTTTAGATATGCAAATGAGATAATTTGCATAAACATCAATTAATTTTAACGATATTGTGAAAATCATGAACTTCAATCTATATCCTTCAAATAAATCTATTATTTCATGGGGGTCAGAAGAACAGAAATGTGTCAAAAAAAATAAAATAAAGTTTTAACAAAATTTACTGAAAAAATGCTCCCACTTTTTGGCTAGACATCTGAAAAACTTCCTGTGCTAAAAGGGTTAAGACAGAGGTAACAGTAGCATGAGTGTGTGTGAGACTGTCTGTGCAGATATACTTCTGCAAATCTTATAAAAGTATCAATGAATGAAATTTTGAAGTATTTTTTTTTTTCGTTTTACAAAAGCAGCAGTCTTCACAGTCTGACAGAAAAAAAAATTATATATATATATATATAAAGTATAAGACAACAACACTATAATCAATGCAAACAAATAATTAAAACAATCACATTCACACAAGGCAGAAAATAATCTTAGTGCTTAAATAAGGTCTTTGAGGGCCGATAACACACTGCAATTATTAACTATTAATTAATATTAATACATTACCATAATTTTCAATAACTGAATTATTATTATAGAATAAGAAATTCGTCATCGACGATAATAACATTAGTATACAATACTCGATACATACACCAACTAGAGGGGGGGGGGGGAGGCCGTGACTGTGAAATAAAGAATTATGTGGCATAGCCGAAGCAATGAACCCCACAGTGTATAATATAAACTAGCAATTGTTACTAAAGCTCTCTTCATATTCTGAGGCGAAGAAATCACAGAAGAGAGTAGGGAAACACAAAGAAAAGATGAAGACTGCTAAGGCTAAACAGTAAATCAGTAAACTAAAGTCTGCGATTATCCCTGTCTTTTCTGTGTCATGCAAATCAAAATGCTCGGGGTATATTTAGCTATAAAGTAAATTTTTATTTAGATACTCCAGATGAATCACTTGACTAACTTTTAAACACAATTTTAAAAGTGTCAACAACTCTACAGCATCTGCGCAGCTGCTAGTATATTGTGTCTCTGTCAACTTCTCACCTTGAGGAACAGCCATTTTGAGAACTGCCGCAGTCACCGAAGATAACCGCAAACTGAGACCCTGCCACAGGCAGTGCTAACAAGGGGACCTGGGCAAGTTGCCTTGACGTGCTTGTTTGTTGTCCTCCCCGTCTTCGTCGTTTCATTATCAGAAATTACTTCAACATTCTCCGTCGCTCCAGACCAGGTCTGTCTACTGCCAGCAACCAGTCGCGCGGTGCTTGTCATGGAGCAGTCCGTTAGCTGCAAATGTTTCCCTGCGGCAAACTTTTAATATTTTTCTACGACTTGTTTATTTCGCCATCAAAGGCCGGTGTCTAGGCCTTTCTGGGCGCTTCATGTGAGTGTGCATTTGTGTGCGCGCGTGTGGGGGTACGAATGTGTATGCGTGTGTGTGTGGCATGTGTGCGTGTTTGTGTGTGTGTGCGCGCGCGCGCATATGTTTGTGTGTGTGTGTGAGAGAGAGAGACAGATGAAGCGAGATTTAGAGAGAGCGCACGCGTGTCGGGTGTGTATGTGTGTGTGTATGCGCATGCGTGTGTGTAGAAGCACGTGTTTGTGTGTAAGTGTGTGTGTGTGTGTAGCGTGCATGTGGTGTGTTGTTGCCTTTTGAGAGTTGTATACATGTGTGTGTGTGTGTGTGCCGTGTTAGTATGTGTGTGTATAGCGTGCATATGGTGTGTTGTGAGAGTGGTATACATGTATGCGTGTGTCTGTGAATGTGTTCATCTTGAAGGACATGTTACAAAGACGCTCGCAAAATCACGTGGGGTCGATGTTTATTTTTTGATATTGGTCCATCGCGTTCCTCTTCAAATACAATGTTATTTCTCTGTGCTTCTGTTTAGATAATGCAGCTGTATCCCTCCTTATTTTCTTGTCTATTTGTTACCTCTGATTTTTCCTACTGTCATGGTGTGCTCTCTTTCGTCTCTACTTTCCGCTCCCTGCAACTCTCCTATTGTCACTGTGTGCTGTCTTTCGTCTCTACTTTCCACTCCCTGCAACTTTCCTATTGTCACGGTGTGCTCTCTTTCGTCTCTACTTTCCACTCCCTGCAACTTTCCTGCTGCGCAAGATATTCTATTATTTCCCTTTTACCAATCTACTTTTTCTTATACTACTGCTATTACTTCTCTAGTCCTGTATTGCCTTTCAGCGTCAACTTTTGAAGAGGCGTCGGGTGAGCGCCTTTGTATTTGCTACTTATGTGCTTGTATTTAAGATAAATTAAATATACTTAATGCGAGATCACAGCAGATTGGTCTGAAAATCCATAAAGGAAAGACAAAGATAATGAGAATAAATCAGGCAAATAGTAATCTTGTTTCTCTTAATGGCACCCCACTCTAAGACGTGGAGTCGTACACCTATTTAGGCAGTAATGTAGATAAAGATGGAGGAACTGATAGAGATATTAAAATAAGAATACAAAAGGCAAGAGGGGCTTTCATAGCACTAGTGAATTTGTGGAGGTCAAAAGAAATTAAAAGAAATACTAAACTAAAAATTTTTAATTCTAATGTCAAATCAGTACTATTGTATGGGGCGGAAACATGGAGAACAACCAAGGCAATTACTAATAAATTACAGACATTCATTAACTGGTGCCTGCGCAGAATAGAGGGAATAAAATGGTATGATAGAATAACTAATGTAGAACTTTGGGAGAGAACTAAACAGGCTCCAGTTGATCAGGAAGTGAGGAAAAGACGCTGGCGTTGGATAGGGCACACACTGAGAAAACAGGAGAACAGCATTACTAGAATGTCTTTGCATTGGAACCCACATGGGCATAGGAATAAAGGAAGGCCAAAAAACACACGGAGAAGAGAGCTGGAGAACGAGGTTAGAAAGATTGGGAGGACAAGGGGAGAGCTCCATGCAATGGCGAAGGATAGAACGACTTGGCGTGAGTTGGTTGAGGGCCTATGCTCCATTGGGGGATAGAAAGGCAGAAGAAGAAGATTTAAGGTTTCAGATATGTCCTCTCAATTTTGAACGATCTTTGGTTCTGCTTCAGTGGTTCACTGTTTGGTGCTAGTCTTAACACATGTCCAGCTATGAAAATTGATTGTACTGTTACGTGGCACGTAGACTTAGCATCTCACAACGCAGGGAGGTCCCTAATTATAACCTACAGGTGTGGTTTCTGGGACTTGCACCCGGGTGATTCTCATCCGAATGGTGGCACTTTGTGTCACCGGGTGTTTTGTCGCTCGTCATGCGGTCCTGGTGGGGTTGGTCATACAGCCAGTCAGGTTACTATCAACCAGGGCTGCCGTTGTTGGTACTTTCATACAAATTGTGTACTATTTGACCCTTTAAGTGCAATACTGTACCTTTGGTACGACGCCAAATGTTTTGGTACGTTTTAAAAAATTTCTCCTCCATGCTATTTGTCACAGTTTAACATTTCAATCTATTTGATGCCCAACCTTTTCTGATGCAGCTTTTTTCTAAAGTATTTTATGACATTTTGTTAATACGTATTTATAAATATTTTTATCTGTTTTTTTTTTTTTTTTTTTTTTTAAGTGCTGTTTGAATTTAAGCTTCCAGTATGAGCGAGCATAAAAATAGCATGTTAGCTCACATAGTGATCATAATACTTCTGGGGGGAAAAGTCAGCAGCTGCTTACTAAAAAAAAAGGACTGTGCCAGTAAAGTTGCTCACATATGAGAGTTACTCTTAAGGTTTCTTGTCAGTAAATAAACAAAGAATATCAGTTTTTATCCAATATAAGGTAAGCCATTGCGTGTGTGGGTGTGTGTTCAAACATAGTGTAACGAGTTTTCAATTAAGAATTTTAGGAATTTAATACTTTTTGGTGTGGTTTTTCAACCACAGTCGGCAAAGCCCTTGATGATGATGATGATCATTGTTAAATGTAGCAGATTGCAAGGGTGTATATTATTACGATAATATATTTAAAGTGTACTTTAAAAATAATTGTGATAATCATATTGTTGTATACTATTGAATGTTTCCTCTCAAGTTTTCTAAAGGCAATCCGTCCTCTGGATTACATCAGGCAGGCAGGTTGTGCAAGCGCGCTGGCTGGCAACTTGTGTACAATGCAGTGTTGCCACTTTGGATCTTTTATATTCAAATTTAGATCTTTTTTATTGCATTTAGATACTGTTTTTGACGTTTAGATCGTAAATATTTTTCTAGACTATTTTCAAATGAGTTAGATATTTTGTAGATTTTTTTTCTTTCATTGTCAATTTAATAATTACTGTGTAAAATATTTACCACAATATTTTTGTTTTGGTCTGGCACGTACATTGTGACAACTGCCATTACTTGAACTTTAAACTCTCACTGGGGTCAACGCACAAATATCTGACAGCCCCCGTACTGATGAATAAAAACGCGCGTAAATCATACTAACCTTTCTTGTTCAAGCCATCCAATCTCGTCCTTTTTAGGACGAAATTTTTTGTCATTTGAAGCCCTACTCTGGCTTTTGCCAGGGGCCGCAATATAGGCAGGCCATATATATGGCCAAATGTCTGAACGCGGTTTCTGGGACCTCTCCACGGCGATCCTCATCCACATGGTGGCACTTTGTGTCATCGGGTGTTTATCGCTTGTGTGATGTCCTGGTGGGGTAGAAGTTCAGTTCATACTAACTTTGTTTCAACCGTTTCCTCGCTGTGCTGACTTTGCGTTTCTTTTTCATGTGTTTAAAAAAATAATTGCTCACTTTCTTATGTGGCTTTCACTTTGAAAAACCTTTCAACATGCCAAAAGTAAAGTATGAGCAAAAAATTTGGAAAGAGTGGGTGCTTGATGACAAAATTAAAAACCGGGGATATGACCAAAGCTTGTTGTAAGTTATGTAAGTGTGAAATTAAAGCGAAAATACAAAACTCAAAGAGTCATGCAGAGACTAAAAAAGCTTGTTGTAAGTTATGTAAGTGTGAAATTAAAGCGAAAATACAAAACTCAAAGAGTCATGCAGAAACTAAAAAAGCATAAAACTGCAGTTTCATTTAAAGATATTACACAGCTGACATCTGTTTTCAGAACTATACTGATAAATGAATCATCAAAAGTTGAAGTATCAGTCGCAATATTTTTAATTTGTCACTGCGCAATTTCAAACTGTGACCATTTGATCGATTTGTAAAAAATCTTGGACTAGTTCAATTTGAAAAGTGTGGTGTAGAAAGTATAGTTTATGAACTGAAGGACCTTTTAATCAGCAACAGTTAGGCTTGAAGAATTTAGCTGTAATTGGTACTGATAATGTCTCAGTGATGGTTGGTATAAACAATGGCGTTTATGCCAAGTTGAAGGAAGCTAACCCATCAATACTTATAAAATGTATGCGTCATTCATTGCAGCTAGCATTATCACATGCTTCATCTAAATATTTACCAAGGAATTTGGAATACCTTATTGCTGAAACACTTTACTGGTTTTCCAAATCATTTGTCAGACAACAGCAATTCAATACAGCCTTGAATGATGGTTCCACACCACCGAAAATTCTGTCAGATTGCAAAACTAGATGGTTATCAATTTAACCAGCTGTTGAAAGAATTATGAAGCAATGGCTGAAGTTGAAGACACACTTTGAAATAACAAGACAAAGGGAAAAGTGCTACACAGCTGAAATACTATATGGAATGTACAGTGATAAAAAAAAATGTGTCATTCATTCTCTTTTTACAACCTATTCTAATGGAAGTGCAAAAAGTTAATAAACTGTCCGAATCTAAACTTGTTGATAAAGTTAAATTCCTTGATGATCTCACCTTGCTATTTCACTCGGTAAAAGACTGGTGTTGATAACTTCTAAAGCTGATTTGCTCACTTGCACTATAAGAGCTATTTGGCTCCTAAGCCACACCTTGGATATTAAATCGAATCAAAAATTGGTGATTTAAAAACAAAAGGACTGTTAACAGAGAATGAAAACAACTTAAGAGAACACTGTCAAGATTTCCTTATCTCATTATTGAAGCAATTGAAGCAGAGACTTCCTGAAAATCTAGATGTTTTGAAAAATATTTCACTTTTTTTTCTGTGAGCAACATACTCCAGCCAATAAAGGACAAACCTAAATATTGTAAAGTAATGACATTTTTAGGGGCTACTGATAATAGTGTCGCGGAAGCAGAATATCAGTTAACCAAAATAAAGTTAGCTGAATGGACAAACAAAACAGAAACTGAAGCGTTTTGGAGTGAAGTGAGACAATTTAAAGATGCCTCAACAAGTCCTTTCTGTAAGCTCTTTAAAGTGCCATGTCTACCATGATACTACCCCACTCAAATGTTGACGTAGAAAGAGTTTTCAGTGCTAGGAATTATATCAAATATAACCTGAAAAACAGGATGAAATTTGACCTCTTAAATGCTATCGTGCCATTAAAATTCGGACTGATGGATGAGACTAGAGAAATAAGCCTACTGTTCCACTTATAAAGAAATTTGAACAGCTAAAGCATACCAGGGTCATTTTGGATCTGAAGCTTCAACTTCATTATCCAAGCTAAGTTTATCCTGTGGATCTTGTGAGGGAGACATCAGTGAAGGTGAGGACATAACTATGTAGGGTAAGTCATAACAAAAGCTATGTAATTTTTGACTTTTTCAATTTGGATGTTTTGTCTAGATCTTTTCCACGCAGATTTAGATCTTTTTAGATATTTTTTGTCAAAGAAAAGTGGCAACACTGACTGGTACAATGTACATGTGACTTCTGTTACTCATGGCGGCCAACGATACAATCGTACCGGCCTTTCTTATCAGCTGGCTGCAACTACTGACTCCTGGAGACTGTTTCGATGAATTTTTTGTCAACTACAACTTTCTCGATGGTCTGGTGATTCTCTCTCTTCTTCTAGTTCCCATAAATTTCAGCAATTTCGGACTACGAGTACTGTATTGTTTTAATTGTATGCAGCTCACAAGACCTACCGTGTTTTGTTACACATTGTTATGTTATGGTGCTGACTGTTACTACTGCTAGCAGTCACTCATAGAGTATACTTTATGTAAACTGTTGCAACTTCTAGCTTGAAAAATATATTAAACATACATTTAATCAGCGAATACTTAAACTGTTGATGATTAAACTGCGCGCGGTATTACTATTAATTGTGGCGTAAAGGAAGTGCAGTAACTATTGTATTGTCATATTCTTTTGTGTTTTCTTTAGAAACATTATTTGCAAACTGGCAACCCCTATGACGGCCGGGTGGTGACACGTACATTAACCCTTTCAGCACGGGCAGTTTTTCGGATGTCTAGCCAAAAACACAGAGCATTTTTTCAGTAAATTTGGTTATTACTTTTTGGGGGGAGGGGGGCGGGGCATATTTCTGTTATTCTGACCCCCATGAAATAATAGATTTATTTGAGAGATTTAGATTGAAGTTCATGATTTTCACAAAATCTTTAAAATAAATTGATTTATATTCGAATTATCTCATTTGCATATCTAAAAATAGAAAATTCACATGTTTCTACTTGGCTTTCTTCCACCTGGTTGGGAGCGGTTACTGCACACACAACAGTCCTTCTCTTTATTGTCAGGAATTTGCAAAAAACTAGTTTCCAACATTACCAGAACAAGTAGGAGGATGCCTGGAGTCAGAATATTCTTTTGCAAGTTCACTGACAACAGCCGATGTAAATTTATAGCGTGTCATAATGCTAGAATTTGACGTATTCTGGTGATACAAAATGTATGCATTGACAGTCATTCATCTAAAAATAGCAAAAACAACTTTACGCCGATATTTAAGTGTTCTGCGTTCATCCAAATAGGAATAAAGCATCATGTCACTTTGGTTTACTCCACCTATTTGTTTATTGTATTGTAAGACAATGCAAGGTTTGGGTCTCACGGCTTCCTGTTGGTCATTTTGCCGAACCCTCACCCTGACTTCCACCTGCTCTGCTTTCTCTTTTGTTGAAGTACAGAAGTACAGGCTTTGTTTGGCTTCTTTTTTTCCTGTAAGCATCTGTAATAATGGCTCCTCTTCTGTAATAGACTGTTTCATTGGGCTGAAGTTAACCCTTGATGCCATTGGGGATGTGTTGCCAATTGCGTCGAACTGTGCCAGTAAGATAGGTTCTCTCAGCAAATAAATCAGTGGTCAATTCCACACTTTAAAAAAAAAATTATCAACAAACACATGGTAACCCTTTCTAAGATAATTTTGCCAATTGCTAAGAGTTTTCTCACAATTCTATGAGACAGTCCTAAGCCATCTTGTTCTTGATCTCTTCTACCTCTGTAAACAAAAAATCCAAGAACATAGGCAGTTGTTGATTCACACAACATCCATAATTTTACACCCCACTTATAGTGATGCTTGTTTGGCATTAGGCTTTCATCAACAGACAGCTCTTGTTTTGGAGTAAAGTGATGCCTAAATACTCTGTTAGCATGCTCTACCAGAGAGGGAAATTTACCACAAGGGTCATATCCATCTGTGTTTGGAGCTGCTAAGGTTTCATTGTAGACAATGTGAAAAAACTTGAGTAGTAAATCAAACCTCTCCCTAGGCATTACTCTTCCAAACCATGGAGTTTCATGTGATTTGTCAGTGGTCCAGTCAGAAAATAGGGTAGGTTTTCTGTTCAGCCCCATGTTCAAAATAATTTCAATAATTGCCTTCATTTCTGAGATCATGGTTGGCTTCCAGTTCTAAACTTCAGGATATTTGCACTTTTTGCAGTCAACTGAGCTGCCTATCTGTTGGTTTATCTGTCATATATATATATATGAAACAGCAATAACATCTTTAATTTTTTTTTCTGGCTTTTTTGGCGCCCTTGCTGCTAACTTTGGGGGTATGTTTGTGAGTGTTTGTTTGAAATGCTATCGTGTATAGTATATTTATTTTTTATATTTGTCAGTCTGTTTACATGTGTTGCCGTATGTGTTTGTATCTGTTGTTTTATGTAGAAGTGCAATATGTTAAGAAACAAAAGAAACAAGAGAAAGAGTGGAGTATGGGAGGACCAGAGACAGATGTGGCAAGAATACCATTCGGTAGCCTTTTTTCACAGTGGTCTCATGCTCTCCCTTTGTTGCTGTATCCAATGTTCTATGTATTCTGTTGCCTTTCTCTTGACAAAGTCCTTTTGAAAATGATACAGTATCTCAAAGTCGGTAAGTCCTTCAAGGTCTTTATTTGCAGGGTATTTACTCACAATAATCTGTGCTTCTCTGTCAATCTGACTCATGTATCGTCGGTAGTAGAATTCTACCTCTGCGCGCATTCTGCTGAGGTATCTCTTTTTTTTTGTTTATCTGCCCTTCTCATCTCGTTTATTTGGGTTATTATTTTTTCGTAGTAAGGCTCCGGTATTGTATTGGGTGTCTCTTCTTCTTCTGAGTCTGTAGAATCGTATGCTGCTAGAGTTGTTTTGGCTTTGACCGTATCGCTGTCTTTAGAGGGTGTCTTTTGGAGTGCTACCGTGTTCTCTATGCGTGAGGTGGCCTCCGATGTTTTAGGTGTCGCCTCGTTATTACTTGGAGTAGTCACCTTTGCGTTCGCCGTGGTGCTGTCTTTTGAATGTTGTTTCTGATGCGCCACCATGGTCACTGTGGGTGGAAGGGCCTTCGATGTGCTAGGTCCCGCTTCTTTTTCCTTTTGAGTTTTTGTAACTTGGCATGTCTCTGTTGGTGTTGTTGCTTGAGATATCTTGGATTTGACTGTCTCGCTGTGTTTAGGGGGTGTCTTCTGGAGTGGAGTGGCCTCGGATGTTTTAGGTTTTGCCTCGTTATTACTTGGAGTGGTCATCGTTGCATTCACCGTGGTGCTGTCTTTTGAATGTTGTTTCTGATGTGCCACCGCGTTCACTGTGGGTGGAGGGACCTTCGATATACTAGGTCCTGCTTTTTCCACTCCTTGAGATTGAGGATCGGTCGCTTTGGTTTCCTTTCGACTGGTTGTGCTGATTTCTCGGCTGGTTTTGGGTTGTCTTTCGGGATCTCCGGAGTTGTAGTTGGGAATGTCTGTTTACGCTGTCTCTTTTCCGGACATTTGTTCAACCAGTGGTCATTCTGGTTGCAGTACACACAGGCAATCCTTCGGTCAGGCATCGTAATCAAAACTTTGTGGTTATGTTTAGTTATGCCTGGGGTTTGATCACATATAGTGGGGTATTTCTCGTGTTGGCCTACACATCGCTCCCCACTTCCTTTCGTCGAGATGAATAGGGAAGACTTCAGGTTCACAATCTCCCATTATCGCCTTTACGATGTCCATTACACCATCGGTGTCCAATTGGCTTGGTAGCCAGTTAAGTGTAATCCGTTTTCTCTGCTTTCCGTACTGTTCAATTCTGCAGGTGATATTGTCTTCGTTCAGGGTCACCGATTTGCCATGCAGGGTCTGGAACAGTTTTTGTTGACATCTTTGCGACAGGCAGAAAAACCATTCTGTTGGGCATTCGTATCGGTACAGATCTATGATATCCTCTGATGGAATGGCAAAGGGGCCTATTAACATGGCCATCATGAAACCAGGTTTGCCCTTTGCAGCAGCCATGGGTCCATCTATTGTGCAGACTAGCGTGTCTCGCCTATGCAGGGTCAGGTCTTTATATTTGTTTTGAGGTACGATGATCGTCTCCATGTTTGATAACAAGTAGTTCAGGTTGAAAACCACTTTTTTTTTTTTGGTAATTCCTTTAAAACACAGTAATCCAAATAAATTGAACAAATTAGTCCAGTTGAAATATAGTAATCCAGTGTAGGGTCATGAATATCCACTTTGCACATGAACATCTTAATATAATTTCACAAACGGTATACCGAAATCTGCCATCTTGCTTGAATATGAAAAACTCAATATAGTTTTTACAAGCGGTGGACCGAAATCCGCCATCTTGCTTGAATATGAAAATCACGGTATAGTTTCACAAACGGTAGACCGAAATCCGCTATTTTGCTTAAATATGGAAATCTCAAAATACTCTCACAAATGGTAGACCAAAATCCGCCATCTTGCGTGAATCTTTGTAAATCCAATTTTATGAAAAACACATGACAAGCAGGGCCAAAAGGTTTTAATTTTTGGCGCCCTTGCTGCTAACTTTGGGTGGCATGATGTCGTGGCATGTGCTTTGGACCAGTCAGCTCAAGAAATGGATGTGACGGAGTGTCAACATCTTTGGGTGGATATACCCTGAGCCATGGTTGGGCTGTGGTCCTCATCTGATTCCCCACTATTACTACAAACACTTGATCCTGCATCAGTATCAATAGAATTAGTGTCATCACTTGATTCAAATATTTCATCAAGTTCAGGGGCAGAAACATACGAGTCAGACATACTTTTAGCGGTTCAGGTCACTATCTAAAAATGTCAACAACAATTTTCACTTCGACACCAAACACTAGAAAGTCACTATGTGTAGAGATAATACAGCATTGAATATAAAATAATCACTTTCAGTGTTTCAAAATAGGAGATTTCTTACGGTGTTGTGGCAAAACACGATCGGGCTGATGATCGGCCGTTCCATGTTTTTGGCCAGTCTGCCGACGGCCGATATCAGCCCGTCCGTGCTAAGAGGGTTAATTGTTAATTTGATGATGACGATAATAATGGATTGAATGTCTATTATGCTTGTATAAAGTTTTGTTTCTGTGCTACACTGAAGAAGAATACAGACAATGCCAATTTGTGTTATTAGTCATGACTTTGTTTACCATTCCACTCAAGTTTGAATGGCTTTGCTACAAAATCGTGAAAGAAACATCAACATGTTTGGCAGAATTGAACAGAGCATTTATTTTGAATGAATTATGCACCATGTGTTGGTCCCAGGCAAGCATCCCATTGCCATCCAGAATGAAAATGGGTATTGCTCACTGAACCATACAGTTCCTTCCTTTGGTGGTCAGTCAACATCAATTGTATCCACTGTGAACACATCTTCCAGTATTGCAGTTTCTTGCAAACTTCCTTTTGAATTGTCCCGACTGACACATCAGATTCTTTCATCATCAGACATAGTTGTATGCTTTGGCAGCAGTTCACCTGTATTGCTGCATCAGTTTTGGTGACTGCTTTTTCTGTTTCAACAACATGCACTTGACCAGCCCATAGAAGATCTGTCATGAACTCACAACCTTTCTGAAACAGTTGTGTCACTGTTGTCTATGATACATATTTCAGTACATTCTTCTATGAATGTAAAGGTAAAGTCGGGAGATGTGAACCAGCGTCATTGCCCACGGTTATAAACCATAAGTGCTCTGCCACCAGTACAGGCAGCTAATAAAAAAACTGTCCACCTGTGTCGCTGTCCGCACGTGACTCTGTAGCTACATTGACGTTCCTCCTTTTACCCCAGAGTGTCACTTTGGTACCCATTTCCTAAAGGCTGGGTGAACCCCGGAAACCGCCCGGTTTTGAACACCGACTGTGGCTGCAGCGAGTCGCAGCTGAATTTGAAAGCGAGCCTCCTATCAACTGCGCTAACACGGCTCCCTTTATGTCCACTGGCCAACATCCTTCAAATGAAAGAAACTGAATCACTGTTTCTCAGATTTTGAATCTGCCCTGCTATTTAATCAGTGGTCACAGACAGAACCCGTGCACCATGGGACGATAAGCACATGCTGTTTTATTCATTGTTCAGTACTTATAACATAACTATGACATGTTCAACTCACACAGTTACATGCGATGCAGCACGAACAGGTTTCAAATGAACACTCTGAATATATTGGAATATGCATTGTTAATTGCCATGATTAGGTGGTTTGGATGCAGATTTGATTTTATCAACTGTTCTGTGGTTGTATGAACTTTTCTTTCTTTCTGTTTATTTTACAATTTTAGTTCCCTGTTTGAAAATCTTCATCAGCAAATGTTTAGGATATGGCATCATATGTGGATCCTTTATAGGTAAGATCATCATTTACTGTTTTAACTCTCACTCTCTCTACCAGCAGGTAATTAATGTAACTCTTTCTATCCATAGAAGTTTTACTTGTAGAACAGCCAGTTACTGGCTCTAAAGGAGTTAGAATCAAATAGAATGTTTTGACTATTTAGGGGCATTTCCTTCAAAGTGGCAGTGCAGCTGCTTGAGAAACAATGAACCAACGGCCTGCATACGAATAAGGTAGATCTGTAAAACTGATATACAAAGACTGATATGCATGCAAAAGCTCATTCTGGAACAAGACCAAAGTTTAGAAATGGACAAATAACTAGGACTGTCCTATGGAGTTTACAGCTGGCGAATGCTAAGAAGAAGATATAGAATGGATGTGCAGACTCTTTGTTCCTTGTCCCTTAGGCAAACTGACTGTGGCTTTGAAGGATGTCCCCAGTTAGTATCTTCTGTGACATGCTTATTGGAGAGACACTCTTGTTTTCCACACAGTGGGCCCCCATAACCCAGACAGGGACTATTTGGATATGAGTTGATACATACTTTCAGTTTAGTGGGGGATCTGTGTGACAAAGTGGCCGAGCTATGAAGATTATCGAGGAGGAGTCAATCTACATTTTTTGGGTCATGTCATTAGAGGCAGCTGAAGTACATCGTGACATAATAAAACCAGTCCTTATATGGGCAAACAACTGTCTGCCAGAGTTTACAGCCCACAAACACTAAGAAGAACAGTGACATTTTTTCACAATGTTGCCAGCTTTTGTTGCCACCCACTTGATGTCTGAAAATGGAGCAGAATTGCTGATACTGTAGTGGATTACATATCCCTCTTGTTTATGTTTTCTGGTGGTATAATTTAGCTGTATTGTTATTTTTCCTGACAGTAAAAGTGCCACAGATTATAAAGATATGGAAGGCAAAGAGCGGTGAAGGAATTAGCTTGTTTGGTGTCAGCCTTGAGCTTGTCGGCATATCGGCTACCTGGGCATATGGAGCTGCACACACATTTCCATTTTCGTACGTTTATTTTTTTTTTATTTTGCCTTTCACATTTGCTAAAAATTGTAATTTTGTGACATTGAATTAAACCAAATTTACATTTTTTTTCTTCTGTTTCTTTGCTTGGTTGCTGTCAGATAGGCTGCATAATAAGTTCCTCTGTTTTGGTGGGAGGAAGATGTAAAAAAAAAACTGGAACACTGGATTAGAGAAAAAAGATTTGCAAAAACACCTACAGCCTTATAGTGTGACTGGAGATGGGCAAAGGCTAGAGAAACATTAGCTGCACATCCTTGAAAAGACATGGCATAACCAACCCCAGGATTCTTTCGCTGTCGTTGTTTTGTTTTGTTTTTTCTAGAAAAATTTTACATTCAGTAGTTTGCCATTGCTTTGCAGAATGGTCAGCTCTCTTTACCACTGTCAAAACCATCACAAGACAAATTGTCTGCAGCTGGGATCAAACCCAGCAGTAGGAAGCATGTCTACAACGCCTAAGCTACAGAAGGCAAAAAAAAAAAAAAAAAACAGTTGTGTCAAATTTGAATAAGCTAGGCTACAAGCTTGAGAAATAATGTCTCCTCCCTTGACTGACAGCCAAGTTCTGTCCCAACTGACAGCTCAAATGAAAGAAATGGTCGAAAGTCGAATTTATATTTTTCAACTCTGATTGAATTTGGATTGTGGTTCTGGACATCCTGCCTTGAGTGGTAGGGTCAGTGAGATTCTGATGTCTGGACCCTGCTACGGCGTTTTAAATATCGGTTTCCTGAACTTTTTGACCTTATCAATGTAGTTATCTTTCTTTATTTACAGTTTTTGTTTTTTTGGGTGGGGTCATAAATGTGGAGGGTCATAGGTCTTAAGTCAGGGAGAAGATGTAATGTGATTCACTTGATGGTGATCGGATCGTGAACTCAGGACCACTTTATTGGTGAGCCACAGCCCTGTGTGGGCTAATGGGTCCCCCACTGGAGAGGGAAGGGGGCTTAACTTTGAAGCAGCATTTTAAAAATGTACTTTTAATGATGTGCTCTCACAGTTTATAACCTATGAAATGTAAATAAACACAAGATTCTGCACTGATGTTTCATACACAGATCTTATGGGGAAGCTCTGTCCTTGGCTGTGCAGACCAGTATTATTGCCTTTTTGGTTCTGTTGTATGCTAACCAAGTGACAAAAGGCGTTATATACGTGTCTGCCTATGTGGCCTGTATGGCATTCCTTCTGTCGCCAGCCGTACCTTTGGGCCTGCTGACAGTGTTGCAGGCCGGAAATATATTTTTGACATCCTTTAGTAAGGTAAGTCATGTCATTGGCACACTTCTCTCTATTTTTGCTTCATATAAACTCCATGTGTTAGTTCCCCAGAAAATCTTATTTGTTGGGAGGGGGGGGGGGGGGGGGGGGGGGGGGGGGGGGGGGGGGTTAGAAAGTGACTTTGGAAAAGGGGGAGGGCCAGAGGTCTTCCCGGTTGTCATCACTGAAGGGCGACAAAATGACAAAAATGTATGTTTACAATAAATTAAAGTTTGTGTGCATACAGGTTGAGTACCACCTAACCTTGCCTTATTTTTACTGCCGTAAAAAGAGGCACTGAATTAAGGTTTGGCGGCAACGCCCAGACTACAGACAACATGTTCCTCTTTGGTGCTGATATACAGATTACACATAGTTTTGTAAGCAGCCCATATATATATACCATACTCATCTGAATTTAAACTATATCAGTCCAAATCTGGGTATTTATAATCTTCTTAAATCTGAGGGTCTGCTACACAAACTACACATAGTATAGTGTGCACCCCATATATATATATATATATATATATATATATATATATATATATATATATATATATATATATATATATATATATATATATATATATATATCAAATAGGTTTTAGCTAAATAAAATCTGCGTATTTCTAATCTAAATGCATCAGAGGGACTTGTAGACAGACTAAACAAGTGTTGCATACAATGCATATATATATATATATATATATATATATATATATATATATATATATATATATATATATATATATATATATATATATTTATATTTATATTTATATTTATATATACATATATATATATATATATCCAAGTTTTATTACCGCATCTTTCTATTTATAAGATGAAATATTTACCACATTTTTTTAAATTTTTAATTGGGGATCTTTTTATTTACAAAATGTGTTTTAAAATATTTATTTCCTAATTTTGGGCTAAATAAACAGGTGTTGTCTTCTACGTGGGGGTGTCCTATTCAGGGGCAAATACTGTATTGCCAATTATAATCAACATAAATCAGAATAAAAATATTCAGGGAAAGATACATTTGTAAATGCTAGCACTATATTTTTTTTGTAGCAGTTGGCGCTCAATCAGTGATATCTTCAGTATCGCTCTGGTCTCCTTTCACACCAAGTGAAAATGCTTAAGACAGCTGTCAAATTTGCCAGCATTAACGGTCCTACATGAGAGTTGCAGCTCACTGTTGGTCAGTCACAAAAGCCGGTATTGCACCTGCAAAAGTGCACACACTTCTGAATGTAATCAATCTCTCACCATTTAAGTGCGGTCAACACATTATAGGTACAACAGAAGAAATTTCACATGAAATCCACGGCTTACAGTTTAGCACCAGACACTCATTTCTGTAGCTGTGTGAAGGAACCTTTGGACTCTCAGTCCAAAAATGGAGAATTTGCATCAGCAAGTTATAGCTGGAAGCAAATAACTTTTCAAGGCTTGATGATCAGCCAGCTATTACAGATTTTACCTGCAAGTTCTAAAGACAAATAAATAATGTAAGAAAGACCTGGAACCTTGAGAGATAATAATGAATAGGCATGGGATGATAAAGTGTTGGCCTTATGTTGTTCGTTCATCGTGAGTGATGAAGACCACTTTCACCCAGACTAGTAATGATCAGTGATTATAAGTCTGGTCTGGTAGTCTTGTAGTCTTAGTTTCAGCTTCATAGCAAACGGGTCACCCCATCTTTGCTCCGCTCCTGTGCCAACGAAAAATACACAGAATGTTTATCACAGTATTAGAATTGCAGTTCATCACTGATGGTAGCAGAAGTCGCCAACAGATCAGCAGTTGCCCAGGCAATCAATTTTAATCACATACGGGCACCACAACACTGCACGACAGGCATAGCGCCATTTTCTGAATCTACAATTCACACCAACACGTTGGTCACAGTCGAAAAAACATTCCAAATGCAATCCGCAGCTCACAGGGTCACGCCATGCATTCAACTCAGAAGCTGGGCGACGAAACTATATCCAGTCTACAAATGGGGCAAAAATGCATCGGCCACCGTCCGGCAGAAGCAAAAAAATTGCCTCTGTTTCGAACAGTGCCGCTGCCTAACGTCCATTTTGACCCAGTGATTATAAGTACCAAGGTGGATGATTAATTCAATATGAGCCAGGAAAGTTCTTGAGCAGTGCGGACAACAGATGGAAGCTGCAGTAGGTGTGGCATTTGCAGTACGATTCTTTCTTGTCTGCCTCCGTTTCTCTGCATGTGACTAGATCTCTAAAATAGACATGCATGCAAAATTTAGGAAAATTCAAGTCCAGAAATGGACTTACAAGCATAAGAGTTTACAGCTGGTGAATGTAGTAAAGAAGAAAGCGAAAAAGTTGAACTGGGAATGTACTTGTACAAGAGTATATACACCATACATGTCAGTCACCTGATGCCTGTATTGTGTACCTAAACGTTCCTTTATCTTCACCAGTGCATTCAGGCATGGGAAAACTTCAGAAACAGCAGCACTGGCCAGCTTTCTGTGGTGACTGTATACTTGCTGTTTCTGGGCTCCTGCGCTCGCATCTTCACATCCATTCAAGAAACTGGAGATGTCATGGTGATTGCCACCTATGTCTTGGCTTCCATTTGTAATGGAATCATTGCTACCCAGTTGGTCTACTACTGGAACTCTCCACTTAACAAAGATAAGAGAAGTTAGGTAGAAAGGGATGAGAACATGTTATGGGTTGAATAAGGGAAGTTAGAGGTTCATGTTCTTGTATGCTTGTTTTATTAGGTTGCATGTTTTTAATAAAACTACTGAATAGTAACATTATTGCAGAATATTAGTTTGTTAAATGTTGTTTTATAATATGAATTGGTGTTAACAACTTGAATTTGTTTATATTGCAACAATTATTGTTAGTTTGTTGAATGTTGTTTAATAATATAAATTAGTGTTAACAGTGAGGATTTGTTTACATTAGAACATAAGTTTAATGCAGAATTTCTGTGCAATATTACAAAATTGTGGACACCAGGAGTAAATGGGAGTTTCATTATGGTATGTGAATTTATTTATAATTATCTAGGGTTTACAGGTACAATTTCTTTATTGTTTTTTTTTAAAGCAAATTCATTATGACTAAATAGACCAGGTTTTAAAATAAACTAATGAAGTTGCCACACAGCTTTTAGAATAAGTCTCTTTAATATGTGTCTGGAGTTTTTTTGCAATAATTTCTGCTGTCATTTTGGATTTGTTTCGGTTTTGTTGAATCTGTATCTGTCTTTCATGACGCACACATAGGATATTTTATATGTTCTAGTTGATCACATGTATAGCCCGAGTTACATGTAAGTTCCATATAGTAAACATGAGTATAAAAATGTTATTGCAAGCAGGTATTTCTAGAAGTGCTCAGTCTCCTCACTTCGATTAGGCAAGGAGAATCTCAGTTCAGTGTACAAAACCTTCCCAGCAATTAGAATCCAAAGTTGCGGATACAGGAATGACACATGATATTAAAAAAATATATTTTATGAATGAATTTCTAATTTTGAAACTATCTTGGATACAAATGGGGTGTGTATGGAGATCGTACTTGCATTTCTTGTGCAAAATCTATGGATGAAAAACTAATCTCTTGTGAAACAGTGTTTTCTAGATGCATTTTTTTTTTCAGTCATCTGCAGTTGTTCGTAACCATTCTTGTGGATCACTGGGACTGATTTGACAAGATTTTATTGCATTGGTTCTGGAGCCACATTTTGAATGAACAAAGATTAGACCAACTGCAGCACAAACATATTGTTAAAAGCGAATAATTGGGGGGTATTTGCTTTGAAGTTAATGCACATCTGCCTGAGAGGGAAGGAACCAACAGTCTGCATATAAATAAGCAAAAGAACGAATGTGCATTCAGAACTCAAGTTCTGAACAAGGCTAAAGTCTATAATTGGATGAATTACCAGCATTTTCTTTCAGAGTTTACTTACATAAGGTGAATGCAAAGAAGAAGAAGATCATCATCATCATGTAGACTGAGCACAGAACCTATTATTAAATAGCAGTCACTTGCACTGACCACTGCTGACTAGACTCCCTCTTGCATGAGAACAGTTTGAAAAATGAAAATTGTAACAACAAAGATTAAATGTTCATTAGGGAAAATACTAAGACAGATTTAAAAGTAACTGACAGTCCTTTCATAATAGTCATTCTGAAGCTTGTACTTTATTTTGTATTTGTATTCATTCCATGTGTAAAAATACAACGGGGAAATTGTTGTTTTGTGTTGTTTACATATTCAGTACTTTTAAGTTTATCTTGTGTATGCATCTTTAGACATTGTTGCTTGAGTGAAAGATAGTTTTTAAAATGGCACCAGGAAATGTCCTATAAACAAACGAAAGAATTAACTTTATTTTCAAAGGTTAAGAATTGGGCAAATAGACCAGGAGGCTGGGCCCGTATCACATTCTGCCCTTTTGGCCTCACTCCATACATACATTACTCAATTCGCATATCAGTTAGCATAAAAAAACAACACTTCTACATCTAATTCTCAAACACAATTCCTATGATATTTCTCTGATTGTACCGCCATTTGTTCTTATTATTAATATTGGTATGGTAAGTGTAATACATCTGGGAAAAGTGGGGGGAGGGGGGTTGGTTAACACAAATATATTTTACAGGGACGTACAGAGTGGGCTGGGATAATATTGAAATAGATTCTGATAGTATGTTTACGGATTGTTACGAGGCATGATATAAAATAAAAATTAAAAAAATTATTTATTGCAGCCAGAAGTGAACTACACATTTACATTATTTCTCAACATAGTCACCATTGACTTTAACACATTTTCGGTATCGTGGCACTAGGTTCTTAATTCCAATGTCATAGAAGTCTGCCGCCAGTGTCTTGAACCATTCATCGACGCCTTTCTGCAGTTCATCAGTTTCAAACTGCTTAAACTTCTTTGCTTTTGGACACCATGAGTGTCCCCATTGCATAGATTGTGGTTTTCATTCGATGTAAGTGTGGGAAATCTTGTCTCATCTCCAGTAACAATGTGCTCCTCAAAATTCATCTCCTTGATTTTGATAGCGATGCAACAATTTTTAAGCCCAGTCCACCAAGCCAGGCGTTTCTGCTTGTGTTCATCGGTTAACATTTTTGGTTCCCCTTTTGGCCTACAATTTGTTTGTATGCAAGGTTTCTTGTCACAATGTTGTAAATGAGTGAGTGTGAAACTTTCAAATATTTGACAGACAATGCAGAAATTGTGAAACAAAGATTTTTCTGAATTTTTCAGTTGACTTCTTCGGCCAGATCGTCTGTCACCACACTCAGCTGAACGCTGCGATCTTCATTATGGAATTTTTTCGCCCTTCTTTAAACATTTGACACCATTTATCAGTCATAACATCTGGCCCATAAACTTCAGTGAGTTGCCTGTGAATATCTGGAGCACTGTTGTTTTTTTACTTTAAATGGATAACAGCACGAACCTTGCAGCTGGCGGGAGTATTGATTTTTGCACTCGTTATAAATCACTCACAGGCAGCATCAAACATGATTTCCCCCGTGAAAAAAATGGTGCACAGCTAGCTAATGAAGCACATAAGCATACTGTATAAACACTTTTATGTTTCCCATCGCTAATTGGCAGTGCGGTCAAAGCGGGACTTACTTAAAAACATGCCCCGTAATATTTTTAATTGGCTGTGGAAGTTGGTTCCACAGATGAGCCAAGCTTGTTTTATATGTCTCTTCTAGGTTTTAGGATATGTAGTATGTTTAGGCTTTCGCTGTCTCTTCTTTTATATCAAAGGAATGGCCAAAGGTAATCTGGAGCATTTTGTTTTTGTTGGGTGCTATTTCATGAAAAACATCCTAGCTGAAAAGTAGGCGTTTATGGAGTGGTAGTAAAATGTAGTCAACCAGTATGATTTTAACCGCGTTCCCCCATCAAGTGCCACTTGGGTTATAAAAATGCCTGATGTGCTGATGGTTTCAATGCGCCTTTAACCACTACTTAATTACTTTTATTTAATTGGAATGTCATTTGTTTTTGCATAAAATTACAGTCAATCAATCAGGTGCTGTCTCCACAATGAAGGTTGGCTGCAATAGATCTCCAGCACTATCACTTGTCTTGGTAGTACACTCAAGCTGCTGGTTGTCCATCACTTGATATTGTCCTCCCACTTGTATTGTTGTGCACCTCTTGCCTTTGACATTTCCCTCCAGGATGGTTTTCACAAGAGTTGTCTCTGAAATATTTAAATTGTGTCTTTCTGTTTCGCTCAGTAACTCTCTTTTCATTTGCAATATCTCCGGAAAATCTTTATTTGATGGTTTGTAATCGCATTAATTTTTTTTTTTTTTCAAATCTTCATCGGACAGACCTAGACCACCATCATCCTGTCCCCTTCTCAGCAAAGATGGAAGTACACTACTCACTAATAACTATGCAGTCTTCAAACGCCGGGCTGAACACTTCAGTAACATCCTGAACCTACAGTCATCCATTAATGAAGAAGCTATAAACGGTTTGCCCCAGGTCCCTATGGATGCAGCCCTAGATGAAACACCAACTCTTCTGGGGACCAAGAAAGCCATTGATCGGCTATCTAGTGGTAAAGCTCCCGGTCTTGATGCGACACCCGCAAAAGTGTTCAATGATGATGGTAGCCTCACTGAGAAATTACACCAAATATACCAATTTATTTGGCAGCAAGAAATACTTCCACAAGACTTCAAAGATGCAACAATCATACACTTTCATAATCGTAAACTGCCAGGTATGTGACAATCACCGTGGAATCTCTTTTCTGTCTATGCCGGTACAATTCTGGCCAGATTTTATTTGATTTGATTCAAGAACCGACATCACACCACTCGGGGCATTCTCATAAGCGCTTCATCCCCATCTTCATCAGCCAGTGAAGAGTTCCGATACTAATGGTGCCAGTAGCATTCTGATTAAACGTCCGTCTTGCCTTTTCTCTGAGCCTCGAGCATCTGCCAAAACCTCTCGTCACTCCCCGCTGCCTCAATCTAACCAGACTGTGGTGATCCATCTGCTCCTCCGAACTGTACACGCTCTCCCACAAGGCACTAACTACGTCTGCCTTATCATGTATCACTATTCCACCAAGTTGTGCAGAGCCAGCCAGTCTGTCCGCCTGTTCATTTCCCAACACACCTGCATGACCCGGTGAAAAAATCCAGACAATACTCCTCACCCGTGTCCTCCGCAGCGAACCATGCCACTCAGCACGAAGCATACCAGTTCTGATCTTCCTCAGCATGCTTTCTAAATCAGTTACAATCACGATGTGTGTGTCATGTTCTCTAGCCAGCGGAAAGCTACAGTGACCGCCTCCACCTCCATTCTTAAACTGGATGTTGTGGTAGCATATGCTAGGCTCTCCTGCACCAAACGTCTACCATTAACTTTTGCTAAGAAGCCCAAAGCACTTCTTTTGCCTCTTGACACTGAACCGTCTGTGTAAATCCTGGCTAGAATTCTCCTAAATCGTCTTACGGTGCATCTTGACCAAGATCTCCTGCCTGAGAGCCAGTGTGGCTTCCGAAAGGAGCGAGCGATGATTTTTGCTGCTCGCCAGCTCCAGGAAAAGTGTCAAGAACTACTTCTATTCTGCCTTCATAGACCTTGCAAAAGGCCTTTGATACAGTCAGT